AATAATACAAGCAAACCATAAGGTGATTTGGATTATTGGATTTGCCCTGCCTTGACATGGCCTTCAATTTCTTCCTTAATTCCTTTAACTTGAGAGGAGCCATCCGATAATATGTCATGGTCAATAGCTTAGCACTAAGCACCAATTCAATTTCATGATAAATTACACTCTTGGATAGCAAATTTTTAGGTAAATGCGGTGGCATTGTATCATCAAACTTGGCCAACACCTTGGTAATTTTCTTTGGTATCTTCATGCCATCATTATCTACCAGCTCATCTTCTCTTAATGTTGCTAAATATATAACTTCTTCCTTTTTGAAGCCTTTCTTCGCTTATATAGTAAGAAAAAAAAACTTTATATTTGATCTATCATATGCCTTGGCTAACACCATTCATAGGTTTTTTCTTTTAGTATTATCATTTTCTTCAGTGAGGTGTAGGCATGACTTTTGTTTACTTAAAGAACTTCATACCCAATACAATTTTAAAGTCATCCATCGTGATAAGCTGTGAAATTTAGGGTTTTCTTCCATGCATTGATACCAAGGATCACCTAATTTTTCATGCCACTAGTAGGTTTTAGGAAATCATTCACCATCTTTATGTTAATAAATGACTTGGTCACCATCAAACCAAGTCTCTTGGCCTCATCCTCAACCATGAAGTTATGTGTGACACTTATGTCTAGCATAGCAAGAGTGACCTTATCATTCACAACCACATCTACATATACTAGCCCATTATTTGGCACTATCTTAGGTGAGGGCTTGACATATAAGTTATTGAGAAACCATAATGACCTCATATGTTTCTCATACTCGAGAACGCACCTTCCTTCTTCCATTATAGCATTAAGGACTTTCTTTTTTAGGCTTTTTCGTCACTAATATAGTCCATTATAAAAGTGAAAACTCTTGGACTTGAATTCCTTCTTATTCTAGTCTTTGAAAAAACTTTTAGATTTATGTGATTTTTCATACCCGTCTTTGTACTCATTCTTCTCAACTTCCCTACTTTACCTTTTAAGTCTTTTTTGGGCTTAGATAACTTGACTTTTTTTTATACTCTATTAAGGATTCAGTTATGGTCATGAATTTTACAAAATTCTTAGGTCATTGATCTCATATCTCTTATTGAGCTCGAGTTGAAGTCTTTTATAAAATCATACATGTGACCATAATCGGGTTTTCCATACACTCGAAGTTTAATAGATATAATTCTTTAACATACTCATGAATAATTCTCATATACTTCAATATTCCTAGCTTATCCTATGCTTTCCAATCTACTTCTTCAAGGTAGAATTAGATATATATAGCTTTTTTGAACTTATCTCAACTAGGTAACTCTTAATTCCTATCTTTCAACTCTTCATACTTCATACGCCACTAAAGAGTAACGTCCTGTATGAGGTAGAAAACAACGAGTCTTAACACGACTCCTATTCTTCTTTAAACCCACCACTTTGAAATATTACTCCACTTGTCGAAGAATTTATCAATTTATTTAGCCTTCCTTTTGCTAGTGTAATGTTATGATCTCAACACTTTAACTTTTGGCGTATCCCTCGAGACCACACTATTGGATATAGCTTCCTTACAAACTACCCAATCTTTCTTAAGTTGTTCAAAGGTTTGTTCATATCCGGTTATGGACTTCTCATATTGTGTAAACACTTTCTTTTTCTAAATGATAAAATCATCTTTTTTGGTAGCATTCTCTTTAGCAATCTCTTAGCTGACTTTACTCGAGTTTGGAGACTAAAGAGCGTTTCACATAAGCTTCTCATACCTAGTGCCTCTTTCTCATTGTCCCCGTCCATCAACTCAAGCCTCTATTTGAAGTCGGTAAGGTGTTCCTCTTCCTTTAAAAGATGCTCTTGAAATGCAATAATCAAGTCATGAGACTTGCCCCTATTTTTCTTAGGTGGAGAAGGTAAAGTCTCATTCTTAGCATCCACGACATTGTCATCAACATCGAGCTAGACATGCTTAGTATTTGAACGCTTAGCTTGTAACCGAGCTTGATACCACTTATTAGGCTTAACCACGTTCTAATACCATTTGTCACGGACTTAGCTTTTACCCAAACTCACGTGCGTTACTTAGTTCACTTCTCACTTTAAGTTGAACCAAGTCGGACTTTTTCTCATCCAAGTTATGAAGCAAGAAAAACATACAAGAGAGATATTAGATAAAATTCTTTATATTGCTCTCAAATGCTTGCAATCTAGATTGCAACTTCCTTAGATCCTCACTCTACAGGACGATCTCTTAAATCGCTTTCTTTTGTATGATCTCTTAAATGGTTAGGTCAAATAAAAGCCTCTTCATTTATAAGCCGTCCCCTCCTCAATGGACGAGTTATGATTAATTTGATCCAATAGTTATAATCAATCATCAAGAACTCTCCTATCTAGATATTTACACACTACAACAATCTAGAATTATTTAGGACAAGTCCAGATTTTACTTGGATAAGCTACGGACTTTTTCGATGCTCTAGAGATTTTTAGAGATTTTCAAATCTGTTTAGCATTCTCCATTAATCTTCATAACAAAAATCTTTTATTGCAAGACATATCGCATGTCACATAATGTTCAAATTGCAGCTCTGGAATTAAAAAAATAAAAAAATAAAAACGTTGGCGTTTGGTCTAGCTTCCCTAAGTTTAGAAAGCCCACTTTCATGTCATCTAATCAATGGTTTCCGGTGTGGAAAGGAAATGGGCCTAAAAGTTTAACCCTGCCACTAGAGTCCAGAATTATCAACAATCCAATTAGACATTCTCATTCTCATTCTTGTAAGAATGTTTTTTCTTTTTTTCTTTTTCTCAATAGTTCTTTAAAAGTGAGCATTTTTTCCCGATTATTTTTGTTGCATCAAATATTTTCCCAGTATGAATACAAATTTATACATAGCTGTGGATTCGAATGTTAAAGAAAAGTATCGACATCCTCAATTGGAAATCAATTCAACTTCTGAACAGATAAATTAATTCGACGAGCATCCATTCAACCCTATTCACTAATTTAAATTATTAATACATCAAAGAATGGGTTTAAGTAAGCGTGTAAATAATGGTGGTTCAATCATTGAGCTTGGTTAGTTTTGGGGCACAAATTCTGTAGATAGAAAGTTAGTACTGCATGCGGCCTTATCCAATTTGATACATGGATTTCTGTCATACCCCCTATAAACCAATCACATTACGCATTGCATATATTCGTTTGGCATGGCTCATTCTCTTGTCTCGAGTCTTAGGTCAATAGCATCATCTTGTAAACCCAACAGTCAGAATGGTTGAGTGCAATCGGTGAATGCACGGTGACTTTAAATCGTTCAAGTTAACAAGGCTAAGATGCATATATGGCCAGTCCTTACAAAAACCTCCTCAACCATTATCCGTTTTGATTTATATCTCTTGTATTTTATTTTTTATTATTATTTTAATATCTAAATTATTAAGTGTTTGGGTTAGGATTTCTTTTATTAAAATCTTATCACTATTTATGATGAGACTATCGCAAATATTTTTAGGTAAGTTGTACTATATTTCTACAATTTACATATATTTCAATGACTTTAGTATAGTGTCAAGATGTTTAATACTCTCTCTATATGTATCTATAAAATGTAATTTGTCCATTGATGTATTATTTTACTTTATAGTTATTGTTTTAAATTTAATTGATGGCAGTAGATATGTCTTCATTTAATTGATTTGGTACATTGGCTGCAGAGAGATGAACTAAGTTCACTAACTTCTCTTAAGCGCAGTCTAGTTGTAATGTCGTAGAGCAGCCATGGTAACCAAACTTGTACTTGTACTTGTCATTGAGGCTTAAAAATTTTAATCTAAAACCCAAAATCATGTTTTGGATTTGAGTTTTAAAATAACTTATTTATTTTGAAATACTATTTGAAGGTTAAAAAATTGTTTAGTGGTTTTTTTAGAATAATTTAATGACCCTAGTGGTAAAATTAAAACAAGTAAATAACTAGTTTTTTTATCTGTCCTATATTGCGAGTCGAACAAACACATAAAATTATTTTTAAAAAATTATTCTAGTTTGATGTCTCGTATTATATTGTGTGTCTATCAAAATATATTAAATCAAAACTAAATAAAAATTCATTCAATTTTATAATTTTTTAATCAAAATTTTGTATTTGAGTGATTATTCTTGATATTTTTCATAAATTTTTAATTAAAAAATATTATTTATTTATCTCTATCCACATTCTTAACTAAAAAATTTATAATCATGTAAGAAAAAATATTAAAATTAATGGATTTTTAACTAAAAACTTATTTTGTAAATTATTTTTTTCTAAATATTTTTTTCCCTTAAATTTTTTAATTAAAAAATCAAAGAAAAAAATAACAAGGACCAAAGTGAACAATATGAAACAAAAAAGAGGGACCAAAATGAAATAAAAAATTAGAAAAAAAAAAACAATGTTAAAAAAAGATGAGCCAAAATATAATGTCATGAAAACTTTCATAATAAATACTTTTAGAATATTTAAAAACTACAAAAATACTATTTCATATCCAATGAGCAATATATATGAATCTTGATGAATAGTGCAAATAAATCTTGGTAAATAGTAAAAATGAGTTTTAGTGAATAATTTTTCAAAGTGTTAGTAAAATAGTAAATTATCTTTTTATTTTAGTTTTTTTTGTTAAGAACAGCAGAGATTCTAATTCAAATACTAGTAAGAAAAGCATGAAGTTTGAATGATACAATTGCTATAGACCCATTGCAATAAATATTTTTTTCCCTCAATGGTGATAGAGATCTATAAGCCACACTTGCAAACCCTGAAAGTTTTATTTTTTTTATAATTCTGAAATTTAATTTCACTAGCATTCAAACACTTCTAAATAAAAAAGAAAGAGGAAGGTTACACAAAAAGTCCTTCAAAGCGTATCCTCTTGAAAAGCTCTCTGAGTGCTAGCCTCCTAGGTTAGCCATAACCATCTTCATCATGGAACAACCTTCTGAAAAGAACCACGAAATCCATGAGTTCGATCTAAACTCTCCCCCTGCTGCCGACTATCCAAGTTCGCAAATATCTGGTGATAAAGAAAGAAGTGATCTCGACGAAAACTCCTCTTTCCTTACCATTCCTGACAATCCAAGTCCACAAAAATCTGGTGAAAAAGAACGCAGTAATATCGATGAAAACTCCTCCGAGAAACCTCAAGACCATAATGAGAGTTGTGAGGAGCACAGAGATTCTCAAGCACAAATCGTAGACAGCAATAGCAGCAATTACACCACTCGGGCCTCTCTACAATATTATGATCGATTTGGCCAGCAGTATGATTCTTTCGAACGTACTTACAATTGTTTTTCGATGTCAGTAATCGAAAAATCACACCTCGATCAGGGAAACCAGATCATCATGTGCTTCAGCTTTGGAGCTCATCCTCCACACACGAGTTGAATATCCTGTGCTATTCGAAATTCGAAACGAATTGAAGAAAAAGTTTCGCACTGTAGAGTTTATGAGTTCACTGCCCAGGAGGGTTCTGTCTTCTTGCCGGATTGGATGATGGAGAATTTGCAACTGCAGAATAGCAACGCTGTGAGCCTGAAGAATACTACCCTAGAAAAGGGAAACTTCATTAACTTAATCCAAAAGCAGCATCGGAAGAGACATTGAGTGCTAACTTTTTTGCCTCACCACAGGAGATACCATCAAGGTCAAATATAACAATTTGGAATTTCGTGTTAATATAGTTGAAACCAAGCCATCTAATGCTATTTGCATTATTGATACGGATTGTGAGGTCGATTTTGCCCTTCCTCTAGATTACAAAGAGCCTGAACAACCAGTACTGCAATCAACAAAAGAGGAGACAAGCAAGGAAGGCCAAAAGCTCGTGCCTTTCACAGGTTTTGCTAGGCGTTTGGAGGAGAAACACGCTGCAGAGTTAGCTCTATCTGATTCAGGTTCCGTTAAAGAAGAGAACCAAACAAATAACACTGATCCAAGTGTTTGGTTCAAGGAAATCTAGAGGAAAGGTGGTGTTTGGTTCTGTTGCACATGGAAAGAAATCGAAAGAGCTCAAAACTGAGGATGTCAAAGCTGAAACTCCAAAGAAAGAACAGTTCCAGCCATTCACAGGGGAGAAATACTCTTTGGAGGACTGACTTTCCTGTCATACATCAGACTTGCTACTAAATGGTTTTTGGTACCAAGGGTGTTATTAGCAAATTTATAACTGCAACTGTGTATTAATTATTGAGTCTCTCATTCCTTGTTTGCTTCTTGCTTCTTGTATTGGACTTTTCATTGCTTGCTTGGTTGGTAAAGACAGTTTAGGCAGGCAGTCAAAATTTTTAAGGCTGCAACTTTCTGCGTGACAGAACTTTTTACCCAAAAAAAAAAAAACATGCGCAGGCTTTTCAAATTTTCTATTGTTTAGCTGTTCCCTTCCAGTTTGTTTGCGCCCTGAATGCCATCAGGCCAATTGGCATTGCAGAAGTTCATGTACCAAGTCTACCATATAAACCTGCAAACGATGACTTCAGAGGAACAGAAGCTCCCCCAATTTCCACACTTGATAAAAGCGGAAGAAAAGTGCTTGCAGCAACGAGATCGGCAACAAATAACACATTTAAAATAGCAAAACAAATAGTTTCCACTTCTTAAGACGCACAGGGTGGTCAACTGTGTGATTACTATGTATTATATACAAATGCTGCAGAACCGATGATGATCCAGTGAAAATTGCAGCATCTTACGGATGACACCAGAGGAAGAAAGAAATACATTATTTTCAAGTTTTAGTCACAAGCTAATGAAGTCATAACTTTATGGAGAACGCTTTAAATTTAAAAACTTCATATTGATCTAGTGCTTCTCTAGAACTTCTTAACGTAACAATACCACCAGTCAACTGAGCAGCAAGAAAAACATCTGCAGACAAGAAAATATCGGCAGACAATAATGAGATCTGCACTGGTCTGGGCTGCTGGTTCAAACATATATGCTTACATATTCAACTAGAAAGCAAATAAGGGAGATTTTCACCAAAGTGCTGCCAGTCCTAGAAATAAAAAAACACCAACCCACTATTTGGCTTACGGGAAGCACCCTGTCAAGCATGCACAAGTCTGCAGTTAAAATTCCTAGTGCTCCTTTGTCTGTGTAAATTCACCTTGATCTTTCTTCAAGACTTCACCTGGGTCTTTGCTTTCACCTCACTCTAATTTGCCAGCAACACAAGCCATCTATGTTGTATGCGTAGAGCCCTTTTCCAATAAGTGATAATCAAATAAGGCCAAATATATATATGATGAATAACAGTCCTGATCATTAGTATGCCAGCAAGAAGCATATCGAATATTGAGACATTGTTGACATGTTTACATTCCTGTCTGATAAGACCCACAGTTTTCATTGCAAGGACAGCTTCTCAGCAATACAAGGAATTATGATATGTTCATCACAGCAACCAATAGGTGCAGCCACCAAAACCCAAATAACCCGTAAGTGTCAGGATTGAAAAAACAAACAGATGCAAAACCAAATCATATATAACAATGCTTAGCATTTTGCCAATACATAACACTATGATACAGATGCACAAGCTCAGAATAAACAGCTTACAATAAGAAGAAAAATGCCAACAAATAATTGAACTATCACATCCAAAATGTTTGCCCTGATTTTGAGAAGCTCACTTAATGATATAAAAATACCTCTGACATGACTGCAAACTTTCACGCAAACGTTTAGAGAGGAGCACAAACCATCTGAAAAGGTTAAAGATAAAAATATCAGAACCCTGGAAAAGAAACTAGAGCAAAATTATTGAATGTGATAACTTGATGAAGATAAAGCAGCTAGAATCTTCCAATACCTAAAATCAAGCAGTGAAATATAAAGGTTGATCCTGGCGTCAGCAAGCACTGCATGATTCTTCACTCATGGTGCAGCAAATAATTGCACCCTGTTCATCCTTGAGTTGCAAATGGATTAAACTCAGATGTATTAACAGCTTTGCTATGTGCCAGGATGCAACCGACTATAAAATTCAGTGAAGTGAAGCCGAAAGAAGAGGAATTTCAAATCAACATGCTGCTGCACAGGCAACTGAGACAAGAAACCTTCAAGCAACACTGTATATTCTTTAGATATTGCTTCCAGTTCCTGCCCCGTATTTTGAAGAAATTCACCAGCACGTTGTTCTAGGGCCTTCCTACCATCAATAAGCCATGATCCAACCTCTGAAGATTTATCTCTTGTCTGCCTCCGTGATTGTTTCTTGTCTTGAGAGGATAACGAGGATGCCCTGGTTCTGCATATGATAGGAATCATGAGTGGGTTAACATGTTTATTAAAGAAAAGAAAGAAAAAAACCATTAAAAAATTAGCATTGCCATTGTCTATTGATATGAATATTAAGATCTCACTTCAAAAACAAGCATGCAAACATTCATTGACAAAACAAAATCATTAAAAAAAAACACTGCAGATATTTACCTTGCTTGTAAATCGTAAATTCCTTCATACAACCGATCTGCATGACTTCTGAAACGTAATATAAGGTCGAATAAGGCAAAGAGTGACTTGTATAGGGATAGGGATCGTTCACCAAGAAGAGATTTCTCTACAATTGAACGGAGATACTTATCATGTGCTGCAAGTAGATCATCAAGATCCCTTGCTACTTCCATCTCATTTGAGAAGTTAGACCATGAAACCTCCAAAACTTCAAACATGATATAATATTGCAAGTTTGTGACAAAATGATTCATCTGATTCCAAAGGACCTGGCATCGTCTCAATGTTGAAAGTAACTGCAACTTGACTACATGCTGCAGCTTGGTGAAAGAATGAGAAGTAATACAATTAGGTTTCATTGTCTTCCACGCACCAATAAGTGCATGCTCTACTCGCCTCAGCTTCCACAGGAAATTAAAAATTCTTAAATACCTTGCCATAACAGATTCTGTAAACACTGTGTCTAATGGTATTCTGGCATCATATTCCAATGAGAATACATCCCAGCCCCTATCTCCAGTTCCATGCGGCATCATCTTCACCCTCAACCTATCTAATATGTCAGGATCATCATATTGAGCATTAGATGACCGAATAGCACTTTCCAGCAACCCTGCCAACTGGAATGAACTAATTGTATTAGCAGGCTCAGAAAGTTCCTGCCCAACAATATCCATTAAATACTGAACAAAATCACCTTGTCCCAGAAGCAAATAACGCTTGATTGCAAGGCAGTGTTCTTTGAATTTATACCTCGTGTACATAACATCCAATAGATGTTTATCAATTCTCTTTGCTGCTTCAACAACCAGAGTTTCAAGTGCATCAGTTTCACCATATCCAAGACTCCCTCTTCTAGTTGTGGTCCCAGCAGCAGCAGCAGCCTCTGTTGCAGCATCAGCCCAGCCACGATCATCGCAACAGACACGAAGAAAATTTATTGACTTCCCAGTCCTTAAAATGCGCTGAGCAAGGGGTTGTGAAATAAATGAAGGAAGCATCCCAGCATGTAGCCTGTAACCCTCCCTCCAAAGTGACTCAGCTTTCACTGGCTGACCCACAACAAAGAACTCAGAAAAAATATCTTCCAACTCCCCTTCCAAAACCCAACTCCTAACCATTTCAAAAAGTGGCGAACACACACGCTGCAGTAAACTCCTCATGAACTCGTGCACCAATGGATTGCCATGCTGGGCATGCAGATGTATAGCCCCAGCCATTGCCCCACCCCTCAAAACTCTGCACTTATCAACCAAAACAGCCATTAACCTCATTTTCACTATTGGCTCAGCAAACCAAACCGACAACCTTCTCAATGACAAATAATTACCCGAACTAGCTGTCTCCGAAACCAATGGAATTGGATTCATCGCCTGTGTTTCAAGCACAGCCAACAACTTATAATAATCTGAAAGCTCATCCTGTAACGCAGCACAAAATGCCTGCCCTACAGTTCCCACATCTTCAGCTGGAAACCGATCCATACTCTCTGAAATATACCCTTTAACTTTCCTAAACAACCACCCCAATTCACACAACTTCCGCACCAATACCCTTGTAGCTCTAGGAACCTTAATTAAATCTGATAAAGCATACCCATCAACGTTTGCATCAAACTTCACATATTTCCCATCAATCCCTTGACAAGCATATAGCACATCTCTCACTAAAACCTCTTCAGACACCTCATTTTCCTCTTTAACCAAATTAACAAACTCTCTAAACGCGATTTCACGCAAATTTTCCGGATCTTTACTAACCAACAAAACACCATTATCGTAACCCTTTTCCCCTCTCTTGAAATTACGTGAACCCCGCGATTCATTACTCAAATCAAGCTCATTTAACCCCAAATTAGGAAACAAAAGCGTTGAATTTGGAGCATTTTGTGCAACTTTTGTATCTTCAGAAATTATTTTAAGCAAATAAAGAACTGCCCATTTGTTATTAATACTTCCCGGACCCGTTTTCGATGCAAATTTGTTGTATAACTCAGCAAAATTGAGAGCTTGAGAGGATTTACCTTGAGTGGCAAGACCACGCTTGATTGATTCAGCGATTGCAGCGGCATCAGGGGCAATCGAAGGGGTTAATCTGCTGGAGAGAATGCGGATTGCGTAGCGAAGAGAATTCTGGAAATCAGGAGAGTTAGGGTTACTAGAAATTGAGGGTTTAGGGTTTTGTGGGTTTCGAGAGAGTACGCGATTGACTAGTTCTTTTACTAGATCTAGGATCTTTTGCTGGTCTTCTTCTTCCATTTTCTGGTACTTTTTGAGAGAGAAAGAAAGAGTGAGGGTTTTGCGATCGAGAGAGTTGGGTTTTTATTTTTTTGTTTATGGGCGGGGAAATGTGGTTTTATTTGTATTTTTCAAATTGGAGTATATAGTTATTGAAATTTTATTTTTCTGAAAAATATGATGAAAGAAATTATTTTCTTAATTCACACAATTGGAATTAAAAACCAAAAAAAAAAAAACGAGTCATTTATTTTTAATTTCTTGAAAAATTGGGGAATTCCAAAAAAAAAAAAAAGTGAAGGTTCTTGAAATTTTGAGAGATTTATATAAGTTGATGTATATTATTTAATTCTAAAATGTTGTCTAATGATCAATATCCGTGTGCTATTTTTTTTTTTTTTAACTTTCACGATTTAAAATTTGAAATTAGTATTAAAAGAAATTTATTTTCTCTTACTGCATCAAGTCAACATAGAAAAAGCATCCTTGAGATCACTTAGAAAAAAAAAAAAAATCTCAATTTATGTTTAAATTAGTAAAAAAAAATCTCTTATAGTTTAACAAAAAAAATTATATACTTATTTTTAATGAACAAGACAGTATGAAGGAATATATGGAAAAGGTATATCATGCTTTTTTGTATTAATTTGGTGTTGATATTAAATTTTGTGCTCAACATTGTTATTAAGGAGTGAGATAATAACCCGTGATTAAATTTGATGATAATAATTAAGGATTTCCAGTTGTAATTATGCATGGATTACATGAAAATAAGTTGAGCTACACTATATCCACCGATAAATAATACAAAATTTTCATATAAATTATCATAACGAGTTAAACTTTTAAATTACATAAACTAAAGAGTAAATTAAAGAAAATAAAATCTACATTCGTTCTCATTATTTTCTTCAAGTTCTATAATCTTTAATATAGGACTCGAGAAAACTTTTCGATTTGTTTTCTTTAATGGGTTAAGATCTCATTTTCTAACATGCATTAACCTTGAGTTATTTAAACAAGTCATACATGAAGGATTAAGTAAGTAACTCCTTACTAATTACATCCAATGTAATTCTTGGTATGACAACTCTTTATCGTATCACATTTTATATGAATACTAATCTTTGCCTGCAAGTTTATTGGACCTTGAGTTGTTTCAACAAACTCAATAACTCATTTAAAGTTAGACTAAATGTTCGGAGATATCACATAGCCCATGATTTGTTTCTCTCGAGAAATAAGTAACCTTGAGTTATCTCAATAAGCCAATAATGATCAAGAGAGTTCCCTCCTCATAATGTTGGAAGACGATTAACTTGATATTTGATTTAATGGATTTAATATGGTAAGTCTCATCCTAGCATGCATACTAATCAATAATCATATTAGTCCTATCATGCATACTAATATTCATTTGAATAACATAAACACATATATCTCACACGTGACTTAAGGCTCGGTGAATGGTAATGAATTTCTAATATTAGCCCTCTCAAACCACAAGGAGGTTAATGGGTCAAATACATATGTGAAAAATTATTACAAATTCTTTGAGATTGTCTTCACTTTTTGGCTTCTTCTCCTTACATCTATTCTAATTCATATCTTCTACTTTTTACATTTATTTGAATAAAAAACCTTGAATTACATTAAAGGAGAGTAAGATGAGAAGAGAAATATAATAGAGTAACGAAAAGGCAGGACGTGTAGGCTTTATTTATCAAAAAATTATAAATATTCATTTCCTTAAATTAGGTAAGGATCGAACACTTACCTATAAATAGTTTCACTAGATCAAGACGGTAATATTAAATTACTGTCTTTATTTTCACAATCCAAGTACCAAGACAATCCTTCTTGTTTTAGTATTCTATCTACAAAGAATCTTTTTATTCTGTTTGTTTTTTATTTTCTCTTATCTCTCACTTTGCGGAAACGTATATAGATATATAACGGAATTGAAAAGAAACAACGTTTCCCTGTACGATTATTATATATATATATATATTCTTTTTTTTTTTATCGGGTCGACTGTCATGGGCGAATTGATCCAAATTCTTTTATTTTTTTAATATATTAAACCGAATAATATTCATTCCTAGCTATTATAGACTTTGTAAGTTTGTTCTAAACCCAGACTTAGGGATATGAGATAAATTAGTTGACCAATCCATTGTTTAGATTGGGCGTGGATAAGCATAACAATTAAGTATAGCAACGATGGATATAGAAAAACTATATATTCTTGCAGGTAGTTTTCAGTGAGTACAAATGAACGGTGTACATTACCTAATTTAATTTTTTTTTAACAACCGTGTAGGATTTTGATTGTCTATAACTAGAATGCGAAATTATAATATAAGTCGGTAGTTAAATTGTAGCCAAAATTTTTGACGGTATACCAAACCAAGAGGTGGTCCAACAAAAAGGGAATAATTGCACTATAATTTAATCAATTTTTAATTTCTTTTCCAATGAAGTATATGAATTTTAATTTTTTTCATTTAAGTATACATATTTTTTAAAAATTGTTAATCAAATATTTGTGTCAATTCTCCATTAATCGATAACGTATTTGTAATTTTCAGAATACTAAATTACATTTTCTTATCAATTAAGTATATGGATTTTATTTTATTTATTTAAGTATACATATTTAAAAAAAATTGTTAATCAAATATTTGTATCAATTTCTCTATTAACCGATAACGTATTTGTCGCTTTCGAATACTAAATTACATTTTTTCTCAATAAAGTATATAGATTTTAATTTTTTTTTTGTTTGAATATGCCAATTTTTTAAAAACTATCAATCAAGTACTTTTGTTAATTTTTTTTGTTAACTCATAAAGTGTCCTTTACCTCTAGAATATTAAATTACAAATTTATCATCTTTTTGTTGGAGAGAACTTTTTCTCCAAATTAATATGCTATTTCAAAATTTGATAAAAAAATTTTAAATATTATTTTTTTAAGTATAAAAGCCTGAACTAAAATCATTTAGTTTTGCCATTAAAAAACTCAGTTAGGTTTCTACATGAAAATTTAAAAAAAAAATACAAAAGTGAAATATTACATCAATAAGATTCATTATTTGTGAGCATTTAGAGAGAAAGTTCTCTCTAATAAAAAGAAGATAAAATTATAATTTAGTAATTTAGAAGTAATCGACACATCATCAATTAATGAAAAAATTGATAAAAGTACTTGATTGATAATTTTAAAAAAATTGATATACTCAAATAAAATTTATATACTTAATTTAGAAGGAAAAAATAAAAGTAAAATTATAATTTGATATTATGAAATTAATAGACACGTTCGAGTTAACGAGAGAAATTGACAAAAATAGTTTATTAACAATTTTGAAAAAATTTGCATACTAAAAAAAATTAAAATTCATGTATTCAATTGAAAAAAATATATATTTATAGTGCAATTATCTCTAAAGCAAAATATTAAAAAATAAATCTAAGCATCATCCGTATACAGTTTTTTTCTTGGTTTTGATCTTAAAAGATATTCTCCAATTAACTTTTATAAATTATATTAAAGTTTTTTCTAATGAGGTTTTAAACGATCATCCACAAATTACATTAAAGTTTTTTCTAATAAGGTTTTAAACAATCTTCCACAGTCAAATTGTTGTTACCATCAAATTTTAAAAAGGTTATTCATACATAAATGAAGACGCAGAATTTTTTTTTTTTTATGAATTCAAATCCCCTTGAACTTTAGCAAACCAAATTGCCAAAAGTTCAATTAATGATATTCAGTGTCTTGCTGTTGCTGAATGTAACATCTCTAACATTTATACCAAGCTTATATAAGCTATTACTCCATCTGCGATGATACAAGGTGTGCACCAACGGAATTTACTAAAGTAATTTCTCTGGTTAGTCAATAACTCCTGGGAAAAAAAAAAAACAATATCATAAAACTGATATAGTATTATTGTGCATTTTAGGGTTATGATTATTTAGGTTATTCTTCTTTTTCACTTCCAAGGGTTCATGCATATAGGATTCCAATATCCTAATCTAAGTATTCAAAGTCAACTGCTGAGGTCGCACGAAACATGAAAAGTCGGGACAACAACAGTTATAGTCATTTACCATGAACATTCAATCTTTCTGACTAAGATTTTAATCCATATTTCAATGTCATTGAACTAAACTATTGAAAATCGACAACAAAAACTTTACTCATAAATGGCATGCTTTTAAAAAGTTAGTTGACACTATTTCCCAATAAGAAAATATTGAAATGTTTTTTCGCCAAAATAATTGACAGTTCACTCCATAGATGGAAGTAAAAAAATAGTAAGAAAAAAGAGAGAAGAATTTTCATTAATTAAGTGCTAATTTTCTCAATCTTGAGAGATTGATCTAATAAATAAGGGGTGTTCTTCTTTAATTTTATAAGTTTAAATATTGAGATTAAAAGTTAATAGAAGAATTTTCTATCAATATGTAGAATTCGAATTCTAAAATTATATTTGTTAAAAAAAGTTAAATATTATAAATCATGTTTTCAATATTATTAGTTATATTTTCAATATAAACGTAGAAACTTAAATAAAATAAAAAGAAAAAAAATTGAAACCAACATTCAAATAAATTATTTAAGTTTATATGAATATATGATGTTGATGAAAAAAAGATAGAGTATAAGTTTTAGAATCTAATAATAATAAAGAAATAGTATTGTTTTGATAAATGCATGAATGATAAGTTATTATCTCATAAATTAGTAATTTTTTTTCATCTTTATAGAAGTATTTTAGTATTAATTTTCTAAATGTCCGGATATATATATATATATATATATATATTTTGATAATCCAAGACGTCCGTATTAGCTTACGCGCATCAATGCTAATCTTTGAACTCACTGAACATCCTATAAGCCTAGTAAATAAGTAAGACAGCATAAGGATAACAGGTATATGTAAAAAAAGTCAAACTTAAATGATCATCAGGTAAGTCATCAACCGTTAAGTTACGAACTCAAGCACGGATAATTACATTTATTGGGTAGGGGAAAGAAGAGGGAGAGAGTTCTCTTTGCCTTCGTACCGTTAAATTCTAACTTTAATAATACGAAAAGAAACTCAGATGTAAAGTACCTTGATCTTGATGATGAAAGTCGGAATAAAGTCGAGAGTACGGAATCACGCTGTTTCCCCTGTGGAGAGTAACCGTCAACTCCCATTGAGCATAAAAAGGCAAATGGCCCATCGAATATTTCAAACCTTGCGTGCGCGCAGGGTCGTCGGTTCCCCGCCAATGACTTTTACCACGGTATTAATAAAGAGAAAAGAAAATGACTACAAATCAGTCCCCGATCTTGTAGTTTCAGACAAATGACTCTCTAATCTTCAAAATCTTGCTAATTTCCACCAAACATTACATGGTTTAACACGTTTACCTTGGTCACTATTTGTTACCATAAAAGAATGGGAACTAGCTTTGATGGTCGAAACAAAATTGAATCTGTTAAGATAACTCCTAAAAATAATGTTAGGGTGGCATATAATTTATATACTATTGAATGTTGGCAAATGCTGCAGGAGTAATATTTTATTAACCTATTTTTTAAAAAACAATTCTAGATGTTTAAATACATTTTTTTGTTTATTATAAAAAATGCATATATTTTATTAACCTATTTTTTTGTTTTTTCATATTATAGTAAATATAATACGATGGAAAAAATGCATATATTTATGTAACTATCTTATAAGATTTATTTTTTCAAAAAGATAAATTAATAATTAAAAGATAAAATTGATTTTTACTATCAATTGCATTCATATCATACCAAATAGTAGATGACAATCTTCATCTATGTCTTCATTAGTGGCTACGAATTAGAATGACTATAATTTTGTAGCTCTTAATAGTTGAAATAGGCTCGGATTCAAGTCCACTCAAGAAGCATTTAGGTCAACCAAATTACAAAGCGCATATGGTTGGATTAAGGGATATTTAGGGGTGTAACCATATTTGAGAAGTTCGAGAGTTAAGCTTATTTTAGTTTTGAGGTGTTTATGAGAGTTGAGATAGATTTTTGAGTATTTATAGAAGTTGAGATTCATGATGTCATAACAAGAATGTGTCTAAAACATTCAAATATTAAGCCATTTTTGAATCTAAAACAATATTTAGTTGTGGAGATCCAAAAAGTCCAAAACTTAAATAGCAAATTTGAGACATTTGAAAGTTGAGTTAGGCCTAAGATATCTAAGATAAGGTTGAGATATGGTTTAAGTAATATGAAGTTGACGCATGCTTTGTCTATAGGATCTACAAAATTAGTTCGAGTGGTTAAGAATGTTAGGTTAAATCAACGCGGTCATAAATCAAATATTTAGATGGTTTTGATGATCTTATAGTAACTCAAAATATTAAATTGAAATTGTACAAGTTATAAATGATCTAGATCATTTTGGTGATATAACTTTTAACACGCATAAGTCACGACTAACAAGATCTATTTATTTTGAGTATATTTTCTAAGACAACATATTTGATGATATAGGTCTAACATAAATATAAAATTTTACTTTATAAATGAACAAGTGTTTAATATACTATTTATGCACATGCATATTTAATGTTAAGGCTTGATAGAAGTTAAATATTTGTATATGCTCGATATTTTAATTAAATAATTTAGCTAATTTTTATTCTATATTAATCAATGTTTTTTTTTAATTTTGACGTGGGTCTAAATTGCACGACAAATCAATTGAACTAAAAATATATCTAATTCAACATAAAATCTTGAATCACAAGGATGGACACGAATATTCTAATAGAATTAGTGTCTATACCTTGTTATTGAGATGCATTAAGGATATTGACTTGATGGATTCGAGTAGGATTCTTTTTAAAAAAAGACCTAATTGTTATTACTTTTAGCTTCGTTAGTAAGTTGAAGCGAGTTAAACCTAAATAATCTAGATGTTTCAAGCCAAATCTAACCATTTAAACTTAGATGACGTGGCATGATTCTAACGAGTTAAAGGTCATCTTCTTTCACTATAAATACCAGTCTCATATCACTATGAGGAGAATAGAACTTTTGACTTCGGAATTTTCAATATTTGACGGGAAAAAAAAAAAACTCGAACTCTCTATCTTAAAACTCTTTCATTCACATACTAGACAACACTCAAAGCTCAACCTCGTTCGAACTTTGACTACCCACCTACCGATTTGCGTCTTGCTAGCATTGTATGCTTCTCTTCCCATGCCTTTCAATATTTGTATCTTTTCTATTTAGTTGGTTGACTATTCATTCTACAAGTTATAACACTAATTCTCTACATCTTGACTAGCTTACCAACTCGGTGGTCCGATCAATTATTAAGAACTTGCTTTACAATATTGTATTAATTAGATCGATTTAGAAAACAAGACTTAAACAAATCAAATAAGTTTACGTTTAATGAACCAATTAAAAATACAAAAAATGAAAATGAATAATATTTGACACAAACATTGAGGTAAATGAAGGTTTTTCCTTGAAATTCTAAACCTTTTTTATAGGAAATTTGAAATAGAATATTATACTAGAATGCTTACATATGTGATTTTAATAATTTATATTGTATTTATTTTTATTATTTTATAGAAACAAATTGATAGGGAACACAAACATGTTAAACCAAGCAAAGATTGCAGCGTTGGCAAGATTTTGAAAACTTGTGTCTGCTTTGTCAGTAGCTATATAATTTGGGGACTGATCTGTAGTTACCAAAAAAACAAAACCAATATTTTAAATATATAAATACAAAGATAGAGAACTTGTATTATTATTTTTATCTAGCTCAATTATTTTCAAAACTCACTAAAAACAAAAAAATATTGTGAAGTACCAATATAAATAGGCAAAACCAAACCGAGACCATTTATGGTCTTACACCGATGCGAACAAGACTCCTTTTCTCCTCGTTTTCCAAATCCGGGTAATGCGGAGTCCTCGTGTGTCAAGTCTGTTTTTTTCTTTGTTTGTTTAAATTTATTTAATTTTTCATTCTGTTCCAATTCGTTGTCTCGATGTTTTGTCTTAATTTGATTACATATGTAAAGACACAACAAAAAGCTTGGAAATTCTCAACTGGGTATCTCTTGTTTTGGTTTATCTTTTGTTGTATTTGTTTTGTTTCTGCTTTTGTGATTTGTTTTTGGGTTATTTGTTGGAAACTTGAAATGGGTTTTTTTTTCTTTGTTGCTTGCGTTTGATTGGGTTGCTTTGATGATTATTTAGCCAAATGGGAGTATTAGATTTTTTTTGGTGATATATAGATTGAACGTGCATGTTCAATATGGAAAATGGGATTCTTTCCTTTTTCATATTTTTATTTTGTCGCATTTTCTGGTTGCTTTGATGGATAAAATAATATTAAAGGTAATTTCTGGCAGAATCTAGATTTGAGTTTTGTTAAAAGTGGTTTATTGGTTCAAAATTTGAAATGGGTTTTGTTTTTATTTGCTATTCTCGTCTCATATTTTGATTGCTTGCTCGCTTGGTGTGTATAAAATGGGCATGTTTTTGGCAGAATTCAGGTTTATACTTGATTGAGGATTAGAAACTAGGCTCATTGTTTGCGTGCTTTTCTCTGGTCAACTTTTAATTACCTGGATGGATACATGGTGGGGAAGTTGTTTCTTGCTAAACCCTGATTAATTTTTCTTCTTCTTATCATTTTCACGTGTATTACTTAAAATGGAGATTCAGTCACACTGACGATGGTGGATCAATTGCTTTAGAAGCATTCTGTTTTGAAATTTTCTTATACCTGGATATAATGCATTAAGTCAGATCATTATGCACGGTTCTATGTCGATTAGTTAGCTTGTGATATATTGTTTATTTTGTTGAGTTTATCCCTTCCCTTCTCTTTTGGCTGCCAAAGATGTCTTATGGTTGGCAAGCCACTTCCTGATAGCATAAGGGGCAACAAGTTTGTAAACCATCGGCCTGTTTGCCAAATGGCATTCCATGTCTTATTTGTGCTTTTGCATTATTTTTATGTTCTGAGAAGAAAGGTCTTTTGTGTTCTCTATTCATATGTGATTTTGAGAGGGTGGGGTGAGAATAAAACAATGTGTTGAGCTGAAATTCTATCGCAAAATCAATTAACAACCTTCAATAACACGGTCATGAATCTGCACACACTGAGTTTAGTTCGTGCCTGTGGTCTCTGCATCCAAGTGGACTGCAGATGCCCTCAAAATCCCAAATCCGCCAAAGTTCCTTCCAATATGTTCACAGTTGAAATCAAATAATACTGTAACTTCTTTCTATTAAAGTGTTATGTTCAGTTGCTGCATTGGAAGTCAATCAAATTTAGATAAATTGCATTTGGCATGTTGTGCATAAGATGTAGTTTTCCTATTACAGATTTTTTTTATATATTTTCTTTACAGGTCAATGAAGTGTGAATCCTTTTGAGAGTCGATAGAGTGCTATTTTTAGTTGTCGGAAAACATTATCCAGTTGGAATAAATGGCTCCTGGGGGCAGTGCTTTTAAAGAAGTTCTCGAAGCTCATTCCACAATTGCAGATTGTGACATTGCAACGTCAAAATCAGAAAATAACATTACACTAGCAAAAGGTACTGTCGGTCTGGGTGGAAAGGATGGGGTTTATTCAAACAGTGGTGTGCACGAACTCCTTGAGTGTCCTGTCTGTACAAATTTAATGTACCCTCCAATTCACCAGGTTTGTTCTTAATTATCATGGATTTTTCTCCTTTAGTCTGGCTGCTTCCTTGAAGCAACATGCAAGCTCCTCCACTCTTTTAAGTAGGAATTCTGTTTCTCAATCACCTGTCAGACGGCTCCCAGAAAAATATTTTAAGGATATTAATTCAGGATTTCAACATTTGGAATAGTTGAAACTAATATCACGTTGTCAAGGTTATAATGAAGGAAACGGACTATGAAATCTCAAACAGTAAAGAGAGATTAATGTAGCTTGCCATACTAGGGCATTAATCACGTCGATATAGGGATTATGAAAATGCTAGAGTGTATGTTACATCTTATGTAGAGGAGCCATAAATGCTCTTGATTACCCAGCCTGAATTCCTGAGACCTGTGAACTCTTGTTTGAAGACTCTTTGCTGTTTTTGTTTTCTTGCAAGAGTGGGGAAGTTTACCAATTTCTTTCATAAGTCCTATTTAGGTCATGAACATAGAAAAAACAGTTTTTCTTGCCAAGGTCTTCGGAGAAGAGTAATTTGTGGGTGAGAGCAGTGCCAGTGTTGGGGCATGGAAAAGTAATTGAGAAGAGATTTTGAATCTGTGAGGGGAAAAGGGAGACATTATTGATGCCAGCTGTAGACTCATGTATGGGGCTTGACAAATTACTCTCTTGCATTTGATTCATTTAATATTTAGTACAGAAAAATGCCTCTGGAGTAGTTTACTATTTAACTTTTTGCTGCTTTACCAGGTCAATTAAGTTTGGAGATTCAATTTATTGTTTCAAATCTGTAACTTAAAAGTCTTTTCCTTATATTCTAAACTTGCTTAATGTTGTAATTAACCTTCTTAACCTCCTTGTGGGTGGGACTTGGTTGTTTCAGTGCCCAAATGGACACACTTTATGTTCAAACTGCAAACTTAGAGTACATAACTGTTGCCCTACTTGCCGCTATGATCTTGGAAATATACGGTGTTTGGCTTTGGAGAAAGTTGCAGAATCATTGGAGCTGCCCTGCAAATACCAGAGTTTAGGATGTCTTGATATTTTCCCATACTACAGCAAGCTCAAGCATGAGCAACACTGTCGATTCCGTCCATATAGCTGTCCTTATGCTGGTTCTGAGTGCTCTGTCACTGGTGACATCCCTGCCCTTGTTGCCCATCTCAAGGATGATCACAAGGTTGACATGCATGATGGGTGTACCTTCAATCATCGTTATGTCAAATCAAATCCACATGAAGTTGAAAATGCCACATGGATGCTTACTGTAAGTTCCTCGTGTGATGTATGATTAGTTGGATTGTGTAATTTTTTTTTTTTTTTGGTGGCCTTTTCTTGTATATGTGTGTTTGTGTGCGCATCTGTGCATGCATGTATGTAGTATGCTAGACTTATTTTTATAGGTGTAAGATGTTGCCACACTTTTTAATTTTCCCTTTATTTTTGGGTGTTTTCTTCTCGGGGTTGGGATTTGATGTTGACTCAACCTTTAATGGAAGAATGCATTAAAGGAAATGGAAAAGCAAAAATTGAAACAGACTTTGATATGATTCATGCATGCTTCCTGCTGTGCTGTTTTGGAACACTTGTTAATTCTTTCTCATGAGTTCTCGTGTTTTTATCTCCTGCTGTTGGAATTCTGGTGCTGTGGATGCTTTTTTAGAAGTGTAAATGTACTGTTGTACATGCTGTTTTGATGCGTCCATTTGTAGTTGCATCATAGCCTTTTGTTACAGTAAAATTCTCTTAGAAAGCTGTTTTCGAAATCTCATTAATCATGCTTTATGTAATTGTTAGTTGTTACTGTTGCTGGGTGGTGTTAATAACTTTGCGTCTGAATTTTGTGATCCGGTTCAGGTATTCAATTGTTTTGGAAGACAGTTCTGCTTGCATTTTGAGGCTTTCCAACTGGGCATGGCACCTGTCTATATGGCCTTCTTAAGGTTTATGGGTGATGATAATGAAGCAAAGAAATTCAGTTACAGCTTAGAAGTCGGTGGGAATGGCCGTAAACTGGTATGGCAAGGAATTCCCAGGAGCATCCGTGACAGTCACAGGAAAGTTCGTGACAGCCAGGATGGGCTCATTATTCAAAGGAATTTGGCACTCTACTTTTCTGGTGGGGACAGGCAAGAGTTGAAGTTGAGGGTTACTGGTCGTGTATGGAAAGAAGAATGAGATGGAAAGTCGATGCTAAGGTTATTGTACAGTTAGCAAAATTTACGAGGGATGCTGGAGTTTTTCAATGTGCCAAAGATGAAGCTCTAGTTATTCCGATTGGGGGTTTTCAGCTGTGTTGGTGATTATGATTGAGATTGGTCTTTGGCATCTATTTTGTCAGCTCACTGTTTTATGGAACAGATTCCTGTTGACAGTGTAAGAACTGGATATTCGGTGTTAAACCGATGGCTGAGGGATCTGTGCAAGCACATGCATGTGTAGTTAACACATTTTGCATATCACTGAACCTACTGTATTCTGTTTTGCTATGTTATTCTACCACATGTCCACACTGATATGAGAAGAAAGAAAGATCAACTTTAGCTCTCCCCTTGTATGTTTCACAAATAACAATTGATACTTTATTTGCAAACCTGCAAGGCTTACCACCTATCTTCTTAATCTTCATCATTCATAGTTACAACTCGTTCCACCTTTTTTTCAAGTGTAACTCAATAAAATGAAGAGTGGAGGTCAATTCCTCATCACTGTTTGAAGGTAATTGCGGGGAACAATCATTTTCTTGAAAACCAGCTTCTGTCAGTATTTGCTTTCTTGAGATTAGCAAGTTAAAAAGCAAAAATTTGAACATTCCTTGCCCGCTAAAGCAAATATCTGTCTATGGTTACCAAAGAAAATTAGCATAACAATGTCTGTGGTTACCCGAAAAAAAATTAGCATCACAAAATCTCAAATGTGAAAAACAAAAGGGGTTTGAAGAACAATTATCTCATGCAGTCACAAAGAAAAAAGTGTTCTTGCAACTTTCATGCTCCAATTTGTTTGAAGCAGAATTTGTTGTTATAATTATAGTTTTAAATTGTAGATGTAATTGTAAAAAGGGTTCGTTATTGTAATTATAGATTGTGATAATAAAATAATGATCATGAGAATCGATTTTATGAATGCATTAGCGAGACTAGTTGTTGTTAATAAATTTATTATTCTAATTTACGTATTTTTAATAATTTTACTAATTAAGGATAATAATAACATCTTTAATAGTTTAATATTATATAACAGTAATTAAATTTATTATAAATAAGGTGAGCAATATATTTAATAGTTTAATATCATATAATATATAAAAAATAATTTTTTTAAATAACCATTAAATAACGATAACAATATATAATGTTTTTATTTATGAAAAACACTATTATATTCTTTATGACAATTTATAACAGTAATAAACATGTTCGAATAGGTTAAATAAGGACCGTTAAGTTACACAAAGACGGTTTGGAATTATGGTTACAATCATAATAAAAAAATGAAAAATATAGAAGGCCAAATTCAGTCAAATCCTTGACCTTTGACCTTAATATAGGGAAATTTGACAACATGGCAGCAGCAGGCATCCCCCACGCATACCATGAAGTCTATGTATAGGCCATAGGCCATTGCCCCTAATGTGAGGTCTCCCATGAAGATGACTATCATCATTTAAAAAAAATAAAAAAAATCTCTTGATCAAGTGAAGATGGACCGTAAGATTAGCATTGCATAAAAATTGAGAAAGAAGAGTGCATGGGACGTGCAGATAAATGCAAAACGTGAAGGCACGTCCGTACGTTGGTTAGTTATAGCGGTTAAACTCCTTTCTAAACCGAATTTCCCGCGACACAAAAAGGAACCGTGTGCCACTTTGTCCCAAACAACATCAGCAACAATTTTCTCTCTCTTTTTTTTTTCCACATTTAGCTCTCTTTCTATCTGTCTTTCTAACAATTTCTACTACTTTTTTGACAGCCTCTATTGGGTTATCTTGATCTCAGGCTTTAAGGTATGAATGCAGGTTCATTTTTATTGACCAACAATGATGTTCTTTTGAATTACCTTTTGATTTTGGTTTTGAGATTAGATTCTGAGATTTTAACATTGAGAAACATGTACTACATTAACAATTTTTCTGATCAAAGATTTCAATAGGTGTATTTTTTTAAAAAAGATAGTTTTGGGGGTTTTTGTTTGTTTTTGTTGTGTTGATAACATATTTCTACATGGTTTGGTTTTTCTGGGATTGCAGGATATTGTTTGTATTAGATTAATCCAATAGCTGATATGTTCTGTTGTGGAGATAAAGAGGAGGAACCCAATGGCCCGCCTGCTAATCAATACACAGCCCCGCCAAGGGGAGGGAATCCATATAGTGGTGGTGGTAATTCAGTCTATACTTTGTTTCCAATCTTGGCTTTTAATTTTCTTGATTTCTTGACCTCCATAACTGGCCTATAATTGCATGCCATTTTGGCAATTCCTCCTGTTCGAAGAATGATGATAGTTTTAGCCAAATAGAATAGCAGCCACGAAGAATAAACATTTAATGTTTTCTGGTGTCTGATGCAATAATTCCTACTTTTTTATTATAGGCAGCGGAAGAGGAGAGCCGAGAAGCGCCAATCAGGCGAGAAGTGGAGCTCCACAGAAGGTCTTGCCCATTGAAATTCCATCAATACCACTGGATGAGTTAAATAGGATGACAGGAAACTTTGGTACAAAGGCTTTGATTGGAGAAGGTTCTTACGGCCGAGTTTTCTATGCCAAGTTAAGAGATGGCATGCCTGCTGCAATTAAGAAGCTAGACACCAGCAGTTCAGAGGAACCAGATTCTGATTTTGCAGCACAGGTTAGATACTGGGACCGTTTCTTTTTGGTAAATGCAATGTGTTGGTCACAAAATTTTGATTCAGTGTTTGCATCTGGGATCATGCAGTTGTCAGTAGTTTCAAGACTTAAGCATGAGCACTTTGTGGAGTTGATGGGGTATTGTTTGGAGGCAAACAACCGAATCTTGGTTTATCAGTTTGCAGTAATGGGTTCTTTACATGATGTATTACACGGTAAATCCAGTTATGATGTTTTTTAGTTTCAATTTTTTTTTTCTGGGGATTGGATTCATATTCAGTTAATCATGTACTGCAGGGAGGAAAGGTGTACAAGGGGCTGAACCAGGTCCAGTTCTGACTTGGAACCAGAGAGTTAAAATTGCATACGGTGCAGCGAAAGGCCTTGAGTATCTGCACGAAAAGGTTCAGCCTCCTATAGTTCATCGCGATGTTAGATCAAGCAATGTCCTACTGTTCGACGACTTCTTGTCCAAAATTGCCGATTTCAACTTGTCAAATGCCAATTCTGACACTGCTGCTCGCCTGCATTCAACTAGGGTATTGGGAACATTTGGCTACCATGCTCCAGAGTAAGCCTCGTATCGTCTCTAATCATAGCCTGTTGACTTACTCTAATCATTAACATATGTTCTCTCATCTATTCACTATGCATTGAGTATCTAATATAGTAAAGTGAAGTATATATTCTGTATCCTAAACCAAAATGGAGCAGCTTTTCTAGCATATATTTGGCTTTGGAGATGCAAAGAACTTGTGTAAACATTTTTAGGCTTGCCGAGTAGGCAGTAGCTAGTTGTATAACTCTTAATTCCCTGCAATAACATTTTTACCATCTTCCTTATTGTCTTGCATTACAATTTCTAATATTTATTGCATTCTCATTTCTAATCCATGTTTTGTTTTCAGGTATGCCATGACCGGACAGATAACTCAGAAAAGTGATGTTTACAGTTTTGGAGTTGTTCTCCTAGAGTTGTTGACAGGAAGAAAGCCAGTAGACCATACAATGCCTAAAGGGCAACAGAGTCTTGTTACTTGGGTATGTTTCATTTTATACTTAAGTCCTCCCTTTCCTTTTTCTATTCTTTATTTGTGCCTTTACCTAGCAGAAATGTAATTGCTGCAGGCAACACCAAGATTGAGTGAGGATAAAGTGAAGCAATGTGTCGATCCCAAGCTAAACAATGATTACGCTCCAAAGGCAGTTGCCAAGGTTCTTAATACTATCCCTTACTTGTTTTTCCTCAACACATAATTTATCAAGCTTGCAGATAGTCTCCAGTAGTTTGGATTAGGCAATTTTCTGAGAAGTTTTTGGTGAATGTTTGAAAGCAATTGATCTTTTTTGTATTTGGTTCTGATTTCTGTGTTTTTTAATTGGTATATCAGTTAGCAGCCGTTGCAGCACTTTGTGTTCAATATGAAGCAGACTTTAGGCCAAACATGACAATTGTTGTCAAGGCTCTTCAGCCACTTCTGAACTCAAAACCAACAGGGCAAGACCCTCGAGCATAATTCACAACTTTCTCAAAAATCAGGAGGACCAGACCTGTGTAATATGTGAGCTTTTCCTCGATCCTTCCAAAATGGGTTTGATATAGACATTGTCAAGCTGAAATAACATTTGTAGTACTTCCAATAGACTCTATTTTTTAGTTCAAATTTGACAAACAAGGAAGATTTGCATCATGCATAAGTTTGGCGTTCTCGTTGTTGTTGTAGTGTTCAGCTATTTTTATTGGTTCCCACATCGTGTAATATCAAGGGAATAACATCATCTCATTTTGGAAGGATCTAAAAATGTTACAGAAACTTTGAGTAGAGCAGTTGGTGGAGAGGCCGCTGCATTTATCAAAAGTTGACATTTTTCTTTTCTTTCTTTGTTGTTTCATCAACGTGCAGCTTGTTGCGTACTTGTAAAGTAGGATGAAAAAATTATAAAAGTTGAAACGTCACCTGAGAGATTCGAACTCTCGCGGGGAAACCCCATGTACTTAGCAGGCACACGCCTTAACCACTCGGCCAAAGCGACGCTAGTTGACACGCTTCTTACTCTTCTTATAATTAACTATTATCATCAAACGGAAGATCTCCGCCAAGTCATTAACGAGGCTGCTTCAGAGATTTAACAATGATCGTGCACACCAATTTTTTCTTGAAGATCCTTATTACAAACACATCAACATGGTTAGTACCTACTTTGATAAAATCGAATTGGAACAATTAATTTTTTTACAGAACTTTTCTTACCGAATAACGCGACATTTGTTATATAAAAATGTTTTCCAAATCATAAAACGTGAGTCTTATTATATTTAATGTAATGATGCAATAATAATTATACAATGTATTTAACTTATAAAACAATCTTATTAAAAAAAAAAATTAACTATCTCTAGCATGATCCATGGAGTTAACTTTACATCATGCTGTGATTGATAATGGAAACAAATTACCCAAAAAAAAATAATAATAATTAAAAAAACTGGCAATTTAATACTTGCACTTGACTTCTTTATTTGCCAAGTCCCTTTGAGGGAGTGAATAAAGCCTACAGAATGAGTAATGAGTTCCACTGTACATATTTATGACTTTTTATATGGGAATTGGACATGCTTTCAAGATAAGAGCTGGAAAACAGACTCTGTCTATAAATTAGAACAACATATGGACAATACATAATATATCATACGAATTTTTTTATCATCTCTCTCACTTCTTCAATCACAAGCCAACCTTTATGCCCTCCAATTACTTCTGCTTTCATCTCTCCATCTTTCCATAGCTGCAATACAATGGTGACTCAATTGTGATTCATTCTCTCGTTGTTATTTTACCTAATAATAACTTTTGAAACAATCAAATAGGTCCAATAAAAATTTAGAATATATGAAAGGTTAAGAGAGTGAAATACATCTAACCTGAATGGTAGGCATTTTCTGACAAGGAGAACCAAAAATAAATCAGAAGGGAAATCTTAAATAACGGTCAAGACATGAAACTAACTAAAGACAAGACGAGAGTGTCAATCAAACATACAGATATATTTCCACGCTTCACCAGAGACTGAGGCACCTTGTTGACATCCACGCAATAAAATTTGATTCTATTTTGGAACCAAGAACAAAATTAATCAGCTAAAATGGCAACATTTTATCAGTAGCCTCCCAAAAAAGAAGATACATTCTTGTGTGCATTCAAACACAAAATTGGGTTCACTATAAAGCTGTATGCATATCATATAATGGAAAATTGAGTGCGGCTCCTGTCTCTCCAATTACTTTTACAGTGTGTGATACTATGGAATATATGGTGGATTGGTGTCAAAAAGTGGCTAGGATATTTTGGAATGGACATAGATATTTATGAAATCATTCTAACCCAAAGATGGAAATAAATAATTTCAAAGGAGATGGAGAAAGAGAAGTTACCTGGTATCATATTCAGCAGCCAATTTCTCCAACTTTGGCTTCAAATAGATGCATTTCCGGCACCAAGAAGCCATCCTAACCAGAAACTCACAAAAAAACACACAAATAATTCAAAGAATTTCATTAGCGAGATATAAAAGGACATTTTTTTTTTCATGAATTAATTGCAAAATCTTATAATATCCACTCTTCAGTATAAGCAAGAGCAACACCATTTTGTGTAATGTGAAAAGAGTGATACCAGTCAATGATAATGGGCTGGGAAAGTTCGCGAGCCTGAAGAAGAATCTTATCAAGCTGATGAGAATCATTGATGGGTTCCATCTCTACAGAAGTTGGCCTAGTCGTATCTGGCCAAAACCCTGCAATTTTCCAATCTCTCTTTAAATTCCTTTTAGTGAAGTCTTTGTTTCTGCCATCAAACCAAGAACGCCCAAAAGAAGTTGTTTGCAATAACAATAAAGAGCCGTTACCACCACCACCACCACCACCACCATTCCATAACTGTTGTTGTTGGTCTCTGTTGTGGTACACTTCTCTGTATAAAACCGGAGAATTCGCTGCCAAAATTGACATTTTTTCTCTCTTTTCTCAAGAAAGCAAGGAAATTGGATATTTTAAGATGCTGGTTGAGGAGGATTATTGAAGAAAATCATGCTTTTAAAATTTTCTGATGTTTTGAGACAGAACGGAATATTGCTTTCTTTTCGTTTGTGTTTTTTTAAAGTATAAAAGTGTTTTTGGTTGTTTCGAAAATGCAGAAATAAAAAAATGACTGAAACATGGAAAGAAGCTTATCCGGAAGGTGAGCTGGGGATGGGAGGGCGGGTTATAGGGTGTGGGGACCGCAGATGGAGCGCCATTGTTGAATGCTGATGCATTTTGGATTGGATTTAGGACCTGATTTTTTTGTTGGTCTTACCTCGTATTAGCCCCTAATTTATACACTGATTCTTGATTTGGCACCCAAACTAATTTCTTTCTTAATCAGATCTTTGATATATCTGAAATTCTTATTTGGGTCCTTCATCTAAATTTTGTAAATGTTTTCTGTCTAAAGTAATTATTTATGCAACAAAAATTAACCATTTTCGAGCTCAACTTATCATTTTTTTTGGTTAAAAATTTATGATAATTTAGATGGATGGATATAATTGATTTTGATAAAATTAGGGACCCAATTATAAAAGAAACTAATTTAAGAATCCAATTGAAAATTGGCTTATATTCCTTATCACATATTAAGACCTTGATGTTACCAATATTGGGCTTCCTTAAAATTATAGTCCCAGATGATTGATTCCAAACTTATTTGCGATGTTATTTTCACCGTTTATTGTGGTCTGATCCAGATAATATTAATTAATGGTCCACTGGATCTTGAGGACTAAGGCCTTCTATTTTATTTTTCTCTTTCAAGTGCATGGAGAGCCCACCTGCCAAGTCTTAATTAGATAATGTGGTAAGGTCAAAAGTGAGCTTTCTACAATAATTAACATTTCTGGCTGAGACAAAAAGTAAAAAATAAACACGAAATATCATCACCAAAGAAGAACGTTGTTTTTTGGTCTTGGTCACCACAGCACACAATTGACCGGTTCACTATAGTTTTAGGCTTTAGCTATTCCCTCGATCAGCACTAGGGATCAACATCCATCTAGGCATGCCTACTGGATTAGCAAATAGCACCTCATTGCGCTAATTATTGAGACAGAACATTTGGATCCAGGGAAATGCCAATTTGTGAAAAGAAACGATGGATCATGACATATAGAAGAAAATAAGCAAAATGGAACAAAAGACTTCTACTTCCTGACATTCTATGAATATCGATTCTGTCAATCAAGATAACGATCTTTCTTGTTCACTATTTTATTATGACACCCGCTACTTCAAGTACTAGCTAGTATGTACATTGTCATTAGCATTAAGTGAGAGCCTGATTAAAAACTCCCGAGTTAATTAATTGTCTCCAGTAGCAAGCAAAGGCACTGTCCGGTCAAGGATACTGCTTATCATCACCTTCTTCCTCTTCTTGCTACCTCTAAAATCTTTGGCAGCATTGGATGCATTGCTTAGTCTGTAGCTGCCACCAAATCGACGGCTGTCGTACATCCTTTGCAAATTCAAGTGGTGCTTACATAGAGAATGCCCTTCAAGTTTCCGTGTGCTACATCTCCATCTTGCCCCGTTTACCTTACTGCACCTCATCATCAAATCGATCTCCTCCATTGCTTGATCACTGTTGATTTCAACCTCACCCTGATGTTTGGATTTTCCATAGATAGTCTGATCATTTACCGAGCTAGCCCACATTTCAGCAATCTTCCTGTTTTGCTTCTGTTTGTCCACTGTACTAGATTCTTGGGTGCTTATGAATCTTTCCAAGCTAATTCTTCTTTTCTTCAAGGGAAACACTTTGTCTTCCTCGCACCAGCTTCCTAGAATACATTTCCAAACAACCAAATTAACAACAGCTCTATGCACATAGCCTTGTCACCAATGTCACATAAGTATATATACACGTAGTCTACAATATAATATTACGGTAGAGTTGGGGTATGACATGAATTTATGGACAGGTATGCATACCATGACTAGGTAAGGACGAGGAAACTGAACTTTCAGCTGACATGACTGCGCTATGAGTGCTGCTGCTGCTGCTGCTTCTGCGCCTGTCATTATCCGTAGGAGTAGTCGGTACAGGAACAAAAAACACAACAACGTTACAGCTGGTAATTAATTAACACAATGCATATAAATTATAATTATAATGGTTCTTGAAAATTTACAATATTATCACCAGATAGAACAGGGAATAAATAAATAAAAATACAGTATTTACAATGAACATTAATTGGAGATGCTTTAGTTTTACACACATGGGATCATAAATGTACGTACGTATGCAAAGGAAATATCATGAGGTGATTGATTAGATGCAAGAGAGAATATTATTTTTTGGTGGTGTTCTAAGAGAGTACGGATAGTAAAATAACCTCTGATGAATCGGAGTAATGGACCTCTTTTCTTCCCTGGTTCTTTTTTCTTCAAAGATTTCTGGATTCTAAAAAAGCATCCGATAAAAGACATATCATATAGTGCAAATCTATACTAAAGTCAAGGATCAGGATAAAGAGAACAAAAAAAAAAAGGAAAACAAAAGTATCGTCAGATGATAAACCTGATCAGAGCAAATGGAGGCGTTGATTGTACTCCTCATCAGAGGTGGTGGGTCAAAGGAGCGTTGATTTTTCTGTAGATAGAGCATTCCATTACGAGAAAGACAAGAATGGGGAGTTAACTTTTTGGTATCATCAACAAATGGTGGGCTAATACGGTAGTGGTCAAGTGGTTCTTGTGAATCAAAGGATGCTCTTCTAATAGTAACAATATCCAAAGAAAGATCATCATTTGGTGCTTGATGCGTTGATGAGACACGATCTGGTGGTGGTAGAGGTGTGGAATAAGGATGATAATGAAGGTCCTTCCTCCATAGCTTCCTGATCCTCATTTCATTGATATAGATACGTATCGCTTGATTTTGCAGGTTGGGATTTCTTGGAAAAGAATAAAAAAGCAAAACTAAAACCCTAACTGATCACCCCACACATCTTCTCGGAAATAGCCTGTGTTTCTCTTTTCTTTCTTGTAAATTGCTGGGTGGTGGCACAAATGCAAAAAAACACAGTACAGCGCCACATCTAGCACGCGGTTCCTTGTGTACGGGTTGATTTTGTGGAAAGAGAAACGAGCCACGCTGTTGACTGGCACGTGCTAATGACTGTCCAATTATTAGGGGCTTTTTTGATGTGCGGATGCACTTACTGGCATGTGCGTGTGGGGGAGTGGGGAGGCAGAGAAGACAAAGCAATGTAGTACCCCAGAGTGGCTGGCAGCGAAGGAGCAGTGGGGGTGGGGAGGGTTCTGGAGCGTGGACAAAATGCCAAATATTTGGGTGTAAAGTTTTGATGTCCAAGTCATGATTCCTACCGCTCCGTAACGAAAACATTTAACCATTTTCATGGCTACCAATTTTGTTTGCGAAATATCAACGTAGGAGGAGTTGTTGGGTAGCTAGACAACCGTAATCAAAATTTACATTTGGTGGCTACAAGAATTATATGGAAGTTTTTGGGCATCTGAGGTGCCATTCAATTTTCATATATTTGTTCCCAAAAGAAAAAAAAAATTCACATATTAACTTATTTTGTTCAATTATAGAGGCATTGCATGCGGTACGTTTCATTTTTCCAAATTCAATATTATCAAGTTTAGGGAGTTTGTTATAATTACTTCAAATGTTATAATTGTAGTATTTTTAAGTTTACGAAATAATAAAATAGTATTTATAACGTAATGAATTTAAATATTTATTAGTCCATAATCATTTAAAAATGATTTTTTTTTTTACTTCTCAAGGTAATATAAAACTTAATTATTTTTAACTATTATAATTACGAAACAATTAATTAAATTATAAAAAATAAAATAAATTTTATTTATTTATTGAGTGAATTTATTTAGCAGTTTGTAATAACTTACTTATTATAATATGAATAATATTTATTTTTTAAAGGTGATGACATCCTTTTTAAGTAGTAATTGTATAATATTATTAGTAACTAGTACAATTACAGCATAATTTTAAATTACCGAAAAAAATAAATTATTATGATATAAGAAATAAAAATATTTAGTAATTTGTAACTTCTAAATACTGTAATTATAATACCTTCGAGTAACCGGCCCTGGTAAATTGAAGCTTGCCTCGAGGCATATTCATAAGCTTTCGATACAATCGAGCCTCATAAAAACAACAAGGAAGCCTACTTTGAATGCCTTTTATTGGTGTAATAAGAGAACATGGGCTTTAAATTAATCTTTTGATTTCAAGAAGACTTTTCACTGGGCTGGAAATTTATGTCCTTGGGAATACAAAACGGGCTGATTGGCTTGAATGGAAACAAGAATAGTGTTTAAATGACCCGGCTCAAGAAGTTCTTTCAGCCATCCGATCTGCTCGCCTCGCACATAGTTTAGATTCAGTGTACGGAGGAGTTGTCGGAGAGCCATCAGATCTGTAAAGTAGCGTTGTGATACTGTTCTGAGATGCAAAGGACAACAAAAGAAACGAGGTGTAATAAATGATACCGAAGGGATGGAGATGTGATGTGTCTGTATCGTGTTTGGTTGACTTGAGACAAGATAGAAGAAAATGCAGGAAAGTTTTTACTACCCCTGATTTATATTATCAATCAAATCCACTTATTTCTAACAATAATTAGATATATTTTTTAAAAACATTCTATTCATATTGAATAATTAATTTTTAATTTTTACTAATTTGAAATGGTAACTTCTACAATAATCAAAATTATGTTAATTTTTTTATGATATCATAAATATTTTATCATAGATAAACAATTAATATAAATAAATTTTAAATTACTTACTATTAATAATTAAAAAAAGAAAAAGAAGGATTAATTTATTTTAAAAGACTAATTGATTATATATATACATATTAGACCGAGATGGATCGCAATCTAAAAAACTAAAGTAGATGACGTATCATTCAGTTATCTTCTTTAACAAGTTTTATTGAAAATTTAATCAAATCATAACTTCTAAAAGACTTGTCAAAATTTAGTCAAATCATAGTCTACCAACCAATATCTTGTTTTTGACTTTTTCTTTAATAAAAAATAAAGAAAAAAAATTGCATGACAAGGCTCTCCCAAACCTCCTAGATACATATACAACCTTAACATAAGTTTTTAACCAAAAAATTAACACAAAAATTTAGATTAAAGTTTATCAATCTAAAACTTCAATTTCATATATCTCCCAAATACCATGATGAAATTATATAATTCAAGTGTTTGTGAATTTCTTATGATGAGAACTATCATTTGATATTAGTGGATTTCATAGTTAGATTTCGTCATATGTAAATTTTCTCCCTTTCTCTGCGTCTCTCTCTCTCTTTTCTTAATATTTTTCTTATTTTAAAGATTTTTAACTTTTATATTTTAGAGTTATTAATTTAATTGTACAAATTAGCTTTTAGAAGTTTATTTCCACTCGCAAACCCTAATATTTATTTACTAACAATAAAATGTAAGTTTCCATTTTCACCAACTTTAGCCTCATTTTGCAATGGCTCTCTACCATCTAAAGAAATAATATTAGAATCAACCCTAAGAGATATTATAGAGGCAACGAGTATTAGAAAACTATTCATCAATTAAGATTCTATTTTCTCTACACTCAAAAAAAAAAGAAAAAAAAGAAAAAAACACATGTTAGAAGGACATGTGAGTGGTAAATATCTCATAGTGAAAAAGAATGATTATATATAAGATGGGACTATAAGTTATTAGTTCAGATTTTTGAATTAAAGGTATTCATATTTATATGTAAATTGTTAAGGTATAAATCTAATAGGAACTCATAGGACCATTAATCTCCTCGAACACATGCATCTTCCTAACAACATCATTGTGTACCATTTTATGTATTGAATATGAATCATTTAGGCCATAAGACTCCTTGTCCTCTAGGAGTCTCCATACATACGCAAGAACAAAAAGGATGCCCATATCAAGAGTGAGAAATGAGAGTGTGAAAAAACAAGTAATGGACCATTCAAGGGAGCCTCCAGAGGTAGCTCGGAAGGTCTAGAGATAAAACCACCTAGACTATAATTTTTAAGAGAGTGTACGTTGCAATGAACATGTAGTTCATAACATAAGGATTGTTGGCGGAAATGGAGAGAAAAGAAATCAAAGGTTTTGCAAACGAGTTCAACAAATCCATTGATCTATGAATATTGGTCAAGGCTAAAGATTTTTAACCACTTTAACCGAACCATAAACCAATATAATGGTCACATAGAGCGACACAACAAGTCGAGAGAACTTTGTAGAGTACTCGAACTTTTTATTTAATGTGATTTTGAAACAATTAATCATTGGATTTAATTATATGTCTCATAACAAAAAAACTAACCCCTTATTTTTATTTTTTTTAAAATCGAATTTCAAAATTAAATATTTTCTCAATTTATTCAAATTTTTTTTAAAATTTAAAATTTTTACAAATTTTTATGTTTTTATTATTTTTGCGAATTTCGGGTGAAAATGATCTAGTATACAAAATAAGGAAAAAAATGAGTGAAAAAATAATTAAAAAGAAACTTAAGAAAAAGAATAAAAGCTTTTAGACTTTCCCAATCGAATTTAGTTAGGCTTAATTCAACTTAGGGGTAAAGAAACCTCCAACCAAGTTAACCTTAATTAATTTAGAGATGATGAATATAAACTAAAGAGTGTCTAAGTACACACCTATGTAACACCCTCGGCCTAAAGGAGGCTAAAAATGCTATAGGCAATGCCTGTCGGATGCAAGACACTAAACCTCATATCCTTTACCTCATTATAAATTACAATGCATAACGAAAATCATTTGATTTAAAATTTGAGGCAATTCTTTAGTTTAACATATTAATAACCAATTCGATTTCGAAGCGAAAATAATTTCATTATCCATCAAAACCAATTTATACATTAGCATATCCAAAAGTTCAAATGTAACATAAGTTTACAAACCAAAAGTGGCCTAAAGTGATCGAACTCGGGTAGTATTTAACCTCGCATACATATAGTACACACTTGGCAAACTAGGCTCCTCACCGTAACATCTTCAACTTTACATCATGCCATATGTATCACTTTGTTCACCTACATCATAAGACAAATGATAAGCTAGTGCTAAGTACGTGTAATTAGGTATAAATGCAAATAAGTTCATTTTTCATGATACTAAAATATGTTTTCTATCATCCTTAAAAAAAGTATACATCGGATCATTTTTTTATAAGCCATCTTAGAACACACCAAGAGTATACATTAGATCATTTTCTTGGTACGTGCTATTTGTACATATATAGAGTATATACCATATCATTCCCTTTGTATGCTATCTTGCCCTCTTTGAATATATTAAGAGTATACACTCAATCATTCTCTTAACATAGTTTTTTTAGAACATACACAAAGTATACATTAGATCATTTGCTTTGTATGCTTTTTTGAATATATCTTGCAAAGAGTATACCTAGATCATTCTCTTTACAACTCTTTCTTAAAAACATGAACTCGATTTTTCTTTAAACCATTTTCATGACATGGATTTAATTATAGCACGTTCCTCAAGCCATTACATGAATATAAATGAAGTTACATTAAATAAGTCATGAGGCCAAAATCAATCATAAGAAAAAAACACCATATAGCATGAATTCAATATATGAACCAAAACTTTCTATGACTTCATAAATATTTCCATCATCAATCAAACAGATAAGCATTCAACCAAGTAGCCCAAAATCATCAAGTACACCACAAGAGTTTAATCAACCAATAATCATGTAAACATATAACCTAGTTATATTAGATAACCATAAAGGTCGAAACCACCATAAGACATCTTTCAAAGTTCGATCATCCAAATACACTTAAATAGCTAATCACATAACCTTATGAATATTCAATCCTCAATTAACACATGGATGCAACACCAAGTAACTTCAAGTGAGACTTAGTTGAATTCACCTAACAACATATGTTCAATCATTAATTAACCATATCAATATATAATCAAGTAGTATCAAGTAATTACACTAAATCGAAACCAATCAAGTAACATTCCCAATGTTCAATCGTTGTATAAACACTTAAATACAAACCAAGCATCATCAAGTATCATAACATCACAATTGATCAATAAATAATTAAACTCATGATCACATAATTTTAAGTAATCAATCATCAATAAAGTATATAAACACAACAATCAAACAACTTCTTTGTCATGTGATGTAATTGAGATGAGATTACACTTACTAATCATCAATTAAGGACATCAACATTTATAGCACAAACACTGAAGCAAGATATCAATATAAGTTTAAGTGAATACCGAAGTGTGTCAATCCTATAACACTTATGTTCAATCATCAATCAAACACATAACATCATACCTTATGGTATAGTTGAGACTAAACCTACTTTAGGGTTTAATTAATGCCGCAAATATCCTAGAAGCTCTCAAAATCACTTTTCCTTCCTTTTGTTGCTCTCGATCAAGTTGTCTAATTCTTTCCTCTCTCTCAACCAACACTCTTCCTCTCTTCCTCTAGGTCAAAATTAGTTATTTAAGGAAATCAATTTCTCTTCTTGTTGTTTTTATATTTTTCGGGGCTAAAATGTTCCTAAGATGGTTTAGAAAACCTCTTCCTTTTCTTTCTCTCTTAACCAAAATAAGTAAGGTTTAAGGAAACTAGAATTGTCACTTGTATTAAGTATTCTTAATCTTAAGGATATTGTTTTAGATTTTTCTACATATGGGATACTTAATTAAGTAAGCTTTTTTAGATTAATACATGTCTATAAGTTACTAACCAAACTTATTTTTAAGTTATAACATTTATGGAACACTAATGCAAGTAATATCTCTAAGTCTCTAAGTTTGAATGACTTAACATATCAATCACTTCACTTGTCACCTATCTCACTTAAGTCCTCAATCTTTTAATTGTTACATTTGGGTCCCTTAGACATTTACAAAGCCAAATATTCATCAATGCAAATACATAACAAAACATACACATACTTAGCAAAATAAACACACACATACGAGTGCATAAGAATGTTTAAAGCTTCGAATATTACATCTTTGCCTCCACATAAAAATTTCATCCCCGAATTTCACTTACTCAAACAACCCACATAAGTAAAAAAATATAAAACAAATTCATACAATTCATCAAGTAAACATAATACACAAGTATCAAACACTTATATATATTGATGAAGTCAGTCGGAGCTTGAGTTTATGTGAACTATTTATGTCAACTGAATCAACCGCTTTGATACCACTTTTGTAACACTTCTAGCCTACGGGAGGCCAAGATGGCTACTAACAATGCCTCACACCCGTAGGATGCAAGGCACTAAGCCTCATGTCCTCTACCTCGTTATACATTACAATGTGCAGCATAAATCATTTTGTTTAAGGTTGGAAAATAATACAAATATTTATAAAAATAAATCCTAAAAAAATTAGATTGAATATGGAGTAGTCTTTTCGAGGAGGGTAACAAGAAAATTTAGTTTTTGACTCCTTGCTTTTGGGATTGTCTAAATAGGTTTAAAGATGAGATAAATTTTATTTTCAAACTTAATCATTTTTTTTCTATTGATGAATATATAAAATTATAATATTATAGATAAAAATAAAAATTATCCTATCTATGGATTGATCTTTGAAATTTAATCAAACTTGAAGTTATTTGATTATAATTACTTTAAAATGTAGTTGAATATAAAGGAAAATGGCTCAATCTATTTTTATATAATTAAGTGTCAAATATATCTTTATATGCTAAAACGAGCTAATTATATTTATGTATTTTAAGTGAGTTTTTAGTTTATTCTTTTGATAAAATTTTCTAAAAAAATCATTAAAAAATATCACATGATTTGCACATAACCAATTTGATACCTAAAATGCCCCTCAACTAAATAGACATGTGCAAGTCACTACCATCATCACCTCCCATCTTAGCTGGACTCCCACCAAGGACATATATCAAACCCATTTTTTGAGTGAAAGTTACGAGTTTGTGGTGTTATATTTGGGTTTTGATGACTAAAGGATATTAATTTGAGGTGGTGGGTGACTACAAAATAGAAGAAAAATAGAGAAAAATTATAGGAGTTTGATGCTTGTCATTGGTCGATTTCGATCAAGGCCTCAAAGAGGGTGATGATGGGTCGGTAACCTATACCTCTCTATTCATTTTTGAGGTAATTTTAGAATAAAACTCATCATATACAAATAACATGATATTTTATGATGGTTTTTGTAGAAAATATTATTAGAATAATATATTAAAAATTCACTTAAAGTACAAGAATATTTATTAGCTTGTTTCAATATACAATGATAGATTAAGGACTTGCCTCATTATATAAAGAAAGGATAGACTATTTCCTCCAAATATAAAGTATAATTGAAATAAAAATATAAATACTTTTAAAAATATATTTTAATAACCTTGTTTATATGAACAAAAAAAAAATGAACATGGTAATAATAATAAAATAATAAAACTAGAAAACAAGAATTCAAAAGCACAATGACTAATTAATAATAAAATTGGAAAAGAGAACTGAAAGCTTTAAGCTCAATTAGAGATGACAATGGGCGGCTATCCGGCCCATTAATTCAATTTTTTATCCTATCTATATAAAAAAATATTTTATCCATTATCTATTAATAAATTATCATATAAATCTTTATTTGGTTCATGCCCCATCTATACTAGTTTTCTTATCCATTTAGTACTCATTTAATACATGTTAAAAATAATTTATCAAAACTATTTCATTTTAGTCCTTGTCATTTTCAAGAAAAGTTTTTTAGTCCTTCAATTTTTTTTTTTGCATTTTGGTACTTTCTTTATAAGTTTTTTTGTCCTTAATTTTTAAAATTTATGCAATTAGATCCATGTATATTAAAAAATCAAAATCAATTAGTAGGAATTAATAAAATAAGAAATGAATACTCATTTATTGATACTATATTAGTGGATATGTATTTTTTTTTCTTTTATCTACTTCAATATCCATTAGATTTTTCAATGAATTTGTATTGGGTTGGATAAAATGAATATTCGATTTATACCTAACTCATTGTGATCCCTAAGCCCAATAGTGGTTTGAAGCAGTGGATCATTTATCTCCTTATTAGTTTGTTTTTTGTACATAGCAATACACTGATTAATAAGAAGGTTTCACGAGAGTAATGAGAACCTATAGTGTTCTCGGCAAGACCTAGCTATATTCCATTTTGATTTTACAGATAATGTCTTCTCTTTACTAAAGCAACATGACCCTGATGAATAAATTTTACAGTGCATCGGGTATGAAAGTTAATGTGTAGAAATCAAGGATGTTTGCTAGCTACCCCGGTTATTAGTCGCCAAATAAAAGAAAAACAGTATTTTTTTTTGTTTATTAATAGTGATTTGGAAATAGCTTGGTGTTCCTTTATTGCATACTAGAGTTACCAAAAACACTTTTGGTTTTGTTATGGATCGTATCCGTTACAAGTTGTCTTGCTAGAAGGCTAAGCTACTTAATTTTACTAACTAAATCAACCTTAACGGCTATGCCTATCTATACGATGCAAAATTTATGGCTTTGTCAGGCTATTTGTGATGGTATAGAAAAATTGGTTCACTCTTCCATTCTGGTATTCTAAGCAGAATGGGAAAGGAGTCCATCTTGTTAATGGGAGAAAGTGACTAGAAGTGAGAGGGATGATGGTCTCGATATTAAGACTGCTAAACATCAGAATATAGCTCTTCAGGATAAGCTTGGCCAGCACTTGATGTCTGAGTTTGTCATCTTTTAGAGCGTTGTAAGTCATGCAGGAGAAATACTTAGGTTCTAATGAGTTGAGATTGCATGTTCCTTCTCAATTTTCTTCTTATATCAAGAAATCTATTTGTAAAAGTTTCAGCGAGTTACGAGAGGGTTTCACCTGGAGATATAGGCATGCAATGAAACTGACATTTCCTTTTGGATGGACAATTGGTGTGGGGATTCAGGGTTAGCTAAGAGGGTGGACATTATTCATAAATTTAATGGCTAATTGGTTATAAATTAATCTAAACTATTGGTTAAAAAGAAAAAATTTTCTAACTTTTTTTAAGGTTCCCAATCTTTTTTTCTATCCATAATAAAATTTTTAATGTCATTAGTCAATCTCAGATAACACTAGAAAGACATAAAACCATTAAAATTTTAGAAGACTTAAATGTAAAATGCATGTCCCTGTTTTATAACTCTATATGTCTTTCATGCTTATTTAATGTGATTTGACATTAGTCAATAAAAAAAAACACTCAATTGTAGAATAAAAAATAATTAAAAATTCAAATAAAAAAATATATTTGAAGTTTTTTCACGTTTAACAATAGTTTAAGATACTTTACAGTCAATTAACCAACAGACTCGAGGATAGCTGATTTTATTACAAGCACAAGAACTTGGGATTTTGGTAGGCTCTACTCAGTTCTTCTTCCTGACATTTAGGAGGCCATGCTGGCTATCCCATTAGCCCCTACTCTTCGTGTACAGACAAACTGATTTGGAGTGGTGGTGCTGATGGGGTTTACAGCACTAAATCAGGTTACCAGTTGTTAACTTTGAATTCTTCTACAGTAGAAAATGTCAATGTTGCTTGGGTTTAGAAACTTCTAGTTCCAGTGGAGATGCGTGCTTTTCTATAGTTAGCTCTACAAGGGTGTCTTCTTTGCAATGAGCTAGGGGCAACATGGGGTCCAATTTCCTCTAATATCTGTGTGCATTGTGGGAATGGCGTGGAATCTATTTTGCACTTACTTTGAGATTGTAGAAAGGTCAATAGCATTTGGTTTTGCATTTTTCCAGGGTATCCTCCTCCTTTCTTTTAGATCCCCTCTTTGCATTCTTGGCTTCGCAGTTCAGCAAGGATTACAAATGTTTCTCAATTGTTTGTTATTACTTGTTGGTAAATTTGGAAGGAAAGAAATGATGCAGTTATTTCTTATAAGTATTATTCTCTATATCAAGAACAATTTATTCAACTTTTCTTGTTGGATTGTGTACAGATTTTTTCTTGTCATTTGTCTGCAAGCATCGGTTTTGGCATATTGGTTTTCTGGGATCCTCCTCCCTGAATTCCATAAAAATAAATGTGGATGGTAGTAGAGTTGGAAACTATATGGAGGAGCTGGATTTGAGGACTTTTGCCAAATAATGTGGGGGATTGAGTGAGGAGGTTTTCGTATTTTTTGGGGGGTTTTCCTCGATTGTGAATGTGGAAGCTGACTCTAAAGAAGCCATTAGTTTTATTGTTAGTAACTATAGCGAGTGGCATCCTTATTGGCCCTTGATTTGCGATATCTACAACCTGCTGGCTAGAGATTGGAATGCTTATATGTGGAACATGTTTTGCGAGAAGGAAATCAATGCATGGATTTTATGGCAAAACTACGATCTCGTCAATCTGACGTTGAGTTACTGTGACAACACCCTTTTCAGGTCTCATGAATTTGCTGTTAACTTATAGTTGTGGGATGGCTTTACAAAATTTATATTACTCATGGAATAACTATCAGTATTTATTTTATAAAAAAGACAGACATTAAAAAAAAGAGAGAGAAACAATTAAAAAAGAAAATTTGAGCCTGAATGAAAATATTATTTTAAAATTTCTCCTTTATGAGGCCTTAGGCCTTATTATGTCTTTTTGCACCAAAAAAAAAAAAAAACATTTTTCTAGAATTTGCATATCAATTTTGATTACTCTTACACATGAAAATATTCTAGTTTTAGCTATAAGATATATAAAGTATTTGCATATCAATATAGGTATGGTTATAAAAAATGTAATGATCTTTTACCAAAAACTTCAATTAACATAGTATAATCATCTCCTCTTTTAATCGAAAAAAGGAATGGTGCTCCTGAAGCAATCAAGAGAAATCAGATTTCCAAGCTTTCTTTTAAATGTAATAAAAACATACATTCAAAGAGGTAGATATGATAATTGTGAAGGTTTTAGTTCCTTGTTTGAGTTTTTGAGTTTGAATTTTTAGAGGATATAAAGAGTAAAGAGTATGTTTTTATAACAATTTGACAAGGTTTAATCTCAATTAATACATAAAATAATCCAAACGACACAACCTTATCGTTAAGCTACAAAAAGAAGTGAAGATGGGATTGGAACCAAACATTGATTACTCGTTGCCCAATAGTTTACTAATGTCAACAATCCTTTGCTGTTTTTCCTCTTTTTCAAAGCTGTAATCCGCAAATCGGGCTGTTAGATAGATCACGTTGAAAGATACTCCTAATAAGTTATGTTGATGGCTTCTTAAACTAATCAAGAAATCAGGATGAAAAAAACAGGCAGCTTCCTGGCTCCAAGTGGCGATGTTAAGAAAAAAGAAATAAGTTTCCAAGTGGTCCAAGTACGTTATTTTATTTGATTAAGTAATTCCCTTACTGTAACTTTATTGAGGTCAAAACGATATCTATGGTTAGCTTCGCGCCAGGAAACATGCTACCATCACTTTAATAAATTGGTCGTCTGATTAACTTGTATTTTTAGTACTTAATGTTCTTCTGCATAAATTAGTAATTAATGTTCTCTGCCAAAAAAAAAAAGAAAAAGAAAAAGATGTCCTTTTGCTTTCTATTCTTTTGAGTTGATCACTTTGGGATGGAGGGGATAGGAGTATTAAGAAACTGTCACTGCACCGGCAAATGTTTCATGGACTTTCTGATGGCTGGCCTCTGGACATCTTTGGTGAGATCGTTTTTCAAGGACCAATATTTTGGAATTAGTTTTGCATAATAATACCAGGTTTTTTTCAATCCATCAAAATCAAATCATCGAGGTTAATTAGAACTAGAGATTCTTAAAATTTCACATTTGAACACCAATACTTATTGTCGTTACACGACGTCAAACGGGACTCCTCAAAGAGATTAAATCTAAACATTAATTATTTATAAAATTATTTATAGAGTTTTGGAGTCACCACCTAGTATTTAAGGAACTAGGAACCTAAAATTAGCATTGGTTTAGAGATTCCTAAGGTAAGGAGTTGGTTACACTTTTAGGAAGATATTTAATCACCTAAAAGTGCTCTTTTTTGAAAAAAAGGTATCATGTATGATTTAGTTCTAAATTCATCTCCTAAAATTCTATGTCAAACTATTTTCTAATTTTTAAACTCCCATCCTTTTTTTTTTAGCGTGGCATCGTATTGAAACGATTGTCGGTCCCCTTCGTCGGGCGACAAGTCGGTTCAAACATCGGATCTACTAAAAACCTTGACACAACCGACGTGTTGGAGAACGTCTTGATTAAAAGATGATTTTTGATGATGTCGGTCCCTATCAAGTAAGAGACTTCGTCGAAAATCTCGAATATTCTTTTTGGTGACGTCGATCCATATTAGATAGGAGACTTCGTCAATTTATTTATTTATTTAATTTTTTGTGGCGTCGGTCCTTACCAAGTAGGAGGCTTCGTTAAAATTTTTAGGCATTTTTTTTTATGATGTCGGTCCCTATCGGATAGGAGAATTCGTCAAGATTTTTTTTATAATGGTTCTAGCAATACATATTAAAGAAAAGAAAATAAAAAAAATTGAAATAAAAATTAAAAAAATGACAAGGAATAAAAATAAACAAGCTAATAAATAAATAAATAATAAAAGAAAAAGATAGAAAAAAAATCGTCCTATACCTAAACTATTAACTCACAACTTATCATTATTTTTTTACCCATTCCTTTTTCCTTTTCTTTCTTATTTTTTTCTTCCCTAATTTCATTTTTTTATTTCTTTATTACCCCTGTTCTTTTCTTTTTCTTTTTTTTGGGAGTTTTTTTTTTGGGTGAGGGACACGAGTTGAGCTGAATTCCAATCCAGCCCCCTTTTTATTTGGGGTAAGGGGCACGGGTTGGACTAAAATCGATCCGGCCCACGCGTATTTTTTTTTTTGGAGAACGGCCATGGTCACTTTGTCCTTTTTTTAAAAAAAATACCCAGTCGGAAAACAAAACCCACTCTTCCTCTTTTCATTTTTTCGGATCAAAATCGCACTTTCCAACCTTCAACCTTTTCTCTCTCCTATTCTTCAAGTTCTTTTTGGACGTAACGTCCAATTCCCTTCTTTTTTTAATTCACACTCTACTCGTGAGCAACTTAAGAATCAATATAACAAAAAATGGAATGATTTTGGCATTAGGATTACCCGAGCAACACCAAAGGAACGAAGGATAATTTTGGGGCTTCTCATTGTGATTGTTGTTGATTTTGCGAGTAAGAATGATCGCCTCGCACTCGGATTTGGTGAAGAGGATTCGCTTGGAGATTTGTGGATGATTGGGAACTAAACAATCGAAAGAGCGCCCGCAGGCCTCTAATGGAAAAGAAAGAAAGAAAAAAAAATGTGGACCAAAACCTAGAGTTTGAAGACAAACCCGGAAAAGTGAAGAATGTAAAACCTAGAAAAACCAACTCGCCTAGAAATGTGAAGAACAAAAAATGAAAATGGAAGAATTTCACCTTGAATTTCAAACAAAGAGATAAAGAAAACTACGAAGGTAGAAATTTAACCCGAGAGAAACACAAAACAAGAAGCCGAAAGGGACCGATCGATGATGAACCAAAGCCCGGGACACCAACCCGGAAAACGCAGAAAATGCAACGACTAAAAATCAATAAAATCAAGCCTTTTGCTTTCGATTTTCACTCCCTCTCAACCCGAATTATTCCTCTCCAATTTTTTCTCCCATTCCCTGTGAAATTAAACCCGTCTTATAGCTAGAAACTTCCTAGAATCAAATCTAAATCCCGAATTTTTTTGTCAAAATATTTCCTCTTTAATTCATGATTAATGTGAAATTAAAACAAGAAATTTGGTCATTGCTTCTCGTTAGTATTGATTTTGGCAACGAATCCATGATTAATGCACAATCAAAACAAGAAATTTTTTTCAAATATTTTCGGAGAGAATTTGCATTGGAGTGGACGACAGGTCGTCTTCTCCACTTTGGTCCTATCGTTTGCTCCAAACTTCCGAGTTTCATCCTCGTGTATTTCAAGTCCAAGCAATCAAGCCATTCGATGGTACAATTTCAGCTTTATAAAGTGCAATCTCATCAATTGAATCCTCGTAAGAAGCAATTTAGGTTCTAAATTTTTCAATTGGTTCAATTATACCCCTAATTACTTCAATTATATCTTCTTTTAAATGCAATTGTGTCCATGAATGAATGTTTTTATGTTTTTTTTATCATTTTCTTTTTTTATTATTTTTTGGTAAGCTTCAATTGAAATAAAACAAAACATACATGAAATAATAAAAATAATAAAAATAAAAATAAAAATAAAACAAAATAAAAAAATAAAAAAAAGATAAATTTGGGTTATTACACTTACCAAGTATATATTCCTTAAACATTGGTTAAAATCTCCTTAAGCAGTTTAATGACCTTGAGTCCTTGACCCGATTTTGCTTTGGCTCCTCCGGTTGGGAAAGGATTTCTTGCTTTGCTGTTTATAAGACTATTTACATAGAATTAGCAAGTGTATTATGCTAGACTAAGAAACAAAATCTTCAGTTCCCTTGAACATTCCTTTTAATTTGAATTTGAAACTCTTGAGCCACCCATTTCTCTTATCCCTATCCTTTCATGAGATAACCCAAAAAAATCCCGTTATGGTTCACGTGGGGAGAATAATGAGTAAAGAACTAGATGTGACAATGAACTTGTCTTCATAGAATTGCTACATCCGGCTAAACATTCCATGTGCATATCTTTCATAATAAAACAACTAAATTAATTAGCTAGAACTATAAATGAGAAAAAAAAATATTGGTCCCTTACATTGCAAATCTATCCATCTAGAAAAATAGTTTGCAATTAATGCATGTTAGACACACAATTGCCAACTGTTTCCTCCAATGTTTTGATATGTAATGTGAAGATAACGTTACAAAAGAAAATTCATACATCTCAATAGAAGCCAGTAGTACACACGTGACAAATAAGATGAGAGTTGTAATTAGCTAAAAGTGTTTCTCCTAACAAAACTAATCAAGCACTCTAAACTAACCACTTGTCCCAATGTACCATGATCCGAAGTATATAACATGTTAGACCAAGAAATTAAACTTTCTTGTTTAGTACGAGGCACACTTATGATTGCCTTAAATTTGGCTAAACCTGAGGCACAATACTCGATGGGTTGGATCACTTCGGACTTCTTAGTTTTTGAATTACTGAAGGCATGGAGTATTTTAAATCTTGTAGTTCTCGATGGAAACGCTTTGCTTAGACACCAAGATTTCCAAGAGACATGTGAATCGGAGAGGGCATCATGTTGCTCACACATGATGGGCACCCCCAACTATTATTCTTTAAGAAAAGTCCGACTATCGAGAAAACCCTTAGAGGATCAAAATGACATCGGGGGTGAGAGGGAGATTGTAGGTGCAGTTTGTCTTCTTGCAAGGCCAAAAGGTTCATGGTAATTAAGGTGCAAAAACAGTCGGTGGAGAATGGATTGGACGAGAATTTACATAAGATGTGACTTGAGCCCCCTCAAATCTAGTAATTTTCATTGTTAGAGTTTTGTTTAATTTCTTCTGGTTTTAGATTGTGGGGGTTAATATCACAAATTCTACCTGATATTTATGGAAACTTTCTGAAAATTTCAAACGTTAAATCGGATCCATTTTAGTGGATGGATTTTTTATTTTTCTGGGTCAAATGTGTTTAGCCCTCTGAACTAATAGTGAAAATCAAAATAGTTCATAAACAAATAATTATGTGCCCATAATCCTTGGAAGAAAATTAGAGGTTTTATCGTATCCTTCTAACTAAACTCATATTTCTATCAAATTTGTGCTAACTGTAAACATGACTCCTTGATTTTTTTGATATATGCATTAAAAAATAGAAAAGAATTTAATTTGTTTTTAAACCGATAAAACTAACACAATTTCTATTCGCTCCTTTCCTTCCGTTTTTTCCCCCTGTATCATATCAAAAACCCTAACACCATTTGAACCCATCACTTTCATTAAAAAAAAAAAAAAAAGATTTTTCTAAACACTGAATTTGCAACAACTATTAAAGACCATCTTTATTAACAACTAGAAATTAAATCTGTCTAAATAGATTTTTGTTAGTGGTTGGCTCTCCGATCAACGTCATGTAGGGCGCTTTTGTTGCAATGATAGAATGTAATTGAAAAAACACAGAAAATAGAAGATGCTATCTATGATATTGTTCATGAACATGAGCAAAATTGGGATTTCATACGAAAGGTGTCAAAATATATATATATAAACAATTATTATGAATTTCAAAATCATTAAGGTTAAAAGGATCAAGAAAAATATAAGATATTTTTGTAGCTCAAAATACTTGACTATTATGAATTACCCGTTAAAAATTTATTACGTAATTCAATGACAATAGCATTCTATCTATGAATTACCGCTGTAAATTCGTTGATACTCCATCGCTATTAACCTAAAATGTTTAAAAATTAATAACAACCGTTACTCATTTTTCGCTAATCTGTTGCTATATACCAACAACTTCATGTTTGTTATTTATGTTCATCGCTATTTAGCTATTTTTTATAGTGGGAATCAATTTTACATAATTATATATAAGTCTACCCATCTATGTGTTATATATTTTTAACCCGTATGAGAGTTAGAAAACGAACATTACAATTTATTCATCATAATTTTTTTTTAACAATTTATCATAAATTTAAAGGTTAATACAATTATCCGTCATTATATAACATATCAAATTTTCAATTTATCTCTAAAAAAGAAAAAATACCTCCATTATGTCTTTATGTTTTGAATTGGTTTCTAATTTATTATTCTAGTCAAAATTTTCGATCAATTTTTATAAATTAATCTTCATATTAATAGAGTTAGATAATTTATATCAAATAACAAAAATAAATTTATCAAATCACATACTTAATTTATGATGAAAAAGTGTGAAATTTTAATTAAAATGATAAATTCGAAACCAACTCAAAATATAAAGACAGATTTGATATTTTTTTTAAAAATATATTAAAGAATTAGCATTATATAAGATCATGCAAGAGTATTAATCATAAATTCAAAATGTCGCGTTTTAAAAATAAAAGTCTAGTTCTCAAGTTATCAAGAGCAAAGAGTTATTTTACTTTAGCTTTGTAATAATATTTAGTATCATCTTAATTAGAATGAAAAATATTTTACCCATACATACATTGACAATGGTTTGATTTTAAAAGAAAACACCGTATCTATACAGGGATGACTAAAATGACCGTATTTCTAAAAACATAAAAAGAAAAAAGGATGGAAAAATGTAGGGTCACCTCGGAGACGGTCCCAATCATATACGCTCACACATGCTCCGAACATTTTTCTCCACTAATAAGGAAAAAGGAGAACAGAGAAACATCTTGGTTTAGAGTTTGGGCATTTCCATAAATTAAAAAATGAAATAAAAGCACCGACGGAATAGTAGCCTATTTTTTTTTTCGACGCGTTTTAATTAATGCTGATGCATATAAGTCCAGCCAAGTCCTCTGTATTACGTACGGATTTTCTCCCCATCGCATAAAATAATAACAGTCATAAAGTCACGGTCACAATCTGTGATTTGGTTTTGTAAAAATTAAGAGGAAAGAAAACTCACGATGGGAGTAGTTTTCGAATCTAATAGACTTCTCATCAACCACTTAATTCTTTTCAGCATTAATCGACGAGTGGTTACATCATGTGATGTTTATTTAACCACTTATTTCGAGCATCTTTTCCTTTGATAAATAGTTGATTGATTTTCAATCCCTTTCATGCAAATTATTTGGACTGTAGATCCACTCTTACTAAAGAAATAGATCTGTTGTGAAAAAATAATAAAATAAAATAAAATAAAAAAGGACAATTGCATGATTATCTGAACTTTAGATCACTGAGAGGCGGAGAGATGGTCCAGCTTGGAAAATATAGACCAGCTAGCCATAGCAAGAGGCGGTGATTAAAGAGCCGTCGACTATTCAATACATATTGATGAAACAATTTTTTTGTGCTAATTAAATGAATTAGATTCACTAGTAGTATTTATTTGCATGCGTCATTAATATGAGGAAAGAGAGTATGAGAAATCACCTGCCCAATATATACATTTCCTTTCAAAAAAACACAATAAATACTTTGGATTTAAAGTAGTCCTGTCCTACCTGCTATCATTTATGAATTTATGTTTTTTTTCTTTCCAGAAGAATAAAATATGCTGATTTTTTTTTTTTTTTGTAAACTGCAGAAGTATATTTCGATTAAAGTTGGGTTTAATTATAAGGGTTTATTTAAGTGTATTTTGATGGTCATATCAAAACTAGAAAAAGTATTGAATTAATATTTTTTTTAAAGCCCAATTCATACTCTGTAATACCAAAAATACGTGGCATATTCTATTTCAGAACAGTAACTAACAGAAACAGGGTTGAAATCATAGGATAGAAGTATATATGCTTATAGATCTAGGTAAACTTTAACTATATGCAAGCATATCTAGCTTTAGACCGCCCTAACGAGAATCGGCAACACTTTTCAGCGGAGTTTTCATCTCAATCATACCAAACTTTTTTGTTTTGGTCTTTTAATATGTTAGTAGATTGCTAGAAGTCAAACAAATGGCCACACTTCGATATAAGAAGTCAAACAAACAGGTTGAGCTTACAATGACCTTGATGGTTAGAATCATCTATGATTACGAGCATCCCATGCGAAGTAACATCTTACAGTACTTTGGCATTTGAAAGGTGAAGCAGATATCATATCATGCTTCGATCCATGTTTCTTTTGGCACTGTAAATCTATCTTTTTTTCTCGTCACAACCAATCCACTCTTCTCTTTGAATAAAAAAATGAATATTTTCTAAGGTGTTTCTGGTAGTGCATGATTAAATGTTCATCTTGATTATTATTTCTTTCTTGTTTGATTGTTCTACTTTTAATTTCTTTTATCACATGCGAAAGAAATTTGACTTGTATAATTACATGACTTCCGACCGAATAATCATGTGCATCTTTTTTTTTTTTTATCAACTCATAAATGCTACTATTATTAGTTTACTTTGAACAAAAGAAAGAAAAAATAAAAATAAAATACAGCACATATTCTCTGCTTTTATGTTCATAATTAAACCCTCAATTTCACTTCAATATAAAAAAAATAAGAAAAAAATCATTCATTCTATAAAAAAAAAAAAATCCTTGAGGCATTGGTGAATAAATTAGATGTTCACTTTATAGGCATTTGATTTTAGAGTTTTCCTAATATTTAGATTTTGTACTCTTTAAATTTTTTATTGAGAATTTCTATATTTTTTTTAGCTTGATTGAAATCTTTTTTTTTTCATTTCATTTTTTTGGTTTTAGACTCTCGATTATAATAGTATCAATCGAGTGATCGACATGTCACCTTTATTTTTAAATTTTTTTTACTTTATAATATTATGTATCAATTACTAATTGGTGGCATTGTAATAGTGAGTTTGAAATAAGAAATTTCAAAAATAAGAAAGTTTTAATTAAATAAAAAATCTTAATAAAAGCAATTCAAAAAATATATGGTCCAAATGTAAGAAAAATCTTTTGATTTATGTTTAAATTTTAGAAAAGATTGTAACATATAAAATTATAGTGTATGGCTTGCTTAACATCGAGCTGAAAAAAAGTTTTGGTACATGAAAAAAAAACAAAAAAGGAAAGAAAGATGCAATTTCTATATCTTCTGTTTATAAGTATGCAATCTTTAATTTTTTTTATTCAGCAATAATGATATTATCGAATTAGTTTTCGTGTATTTTAAATATGATTAAAGAATACTTTATAATATATAATTTTAAGTATTTTAAGAATAAATATTTTAAAAATACTAGCCATACGGATCAAATTCTAAATTTAATTTACAAATCACTATTTGTTTACCAACATATTATCAATTTATTGTAATTTTCAAATTTTAAGAAATGGTTATAGATTTCAGGTAACTTTTCAAAACGACACATTTGGCATGACTAGAAGCAAGGCATAGTAGCCAACAGCAGTACCAAAACGACAATGACATGAAAATACAACAATTGGCGGCAAGTCCAAGCACCAACACAATTACACAATTACACAATTACAGTTGGATTCTCCGCTTTGCCTATTTACTATTGTCTGTGATGGGCCCAACCAATCACATAACGCCACAACCACACATTTACTCACCGACGACTTCCTAATGCAACTATCGAGTTGGTACCGTTTAGATCTTGACCGTTGCTTTTGCAGACTTTGAATCTCACGTCATGATCGTTGACACGTACGGACTTTTTGTGTGCTGAAGAAAAAGGGAACAGCTCGCATACGGTCCCACACGGAAAACTATTTTTAACGTGAAGCGGTAAGTAGTGGAAATAAAACTGAAAGATAATTTCAAGGGTACCCCTAATTTAGTAAGTAGGATTCATATTACATCTTCTGCCACTTCTTTCATAAGCTGCTGGCCTACCGCTCGATTTTTAGGTTTAAATTTTTTCTTTGCTAGTTACAATCATGAGAAACTCCCCAGAGTAAAAAAAGAACAAATCTTCTTTACATTATGGAATTAGAGATACTTTAGAATGAAAAAGCAAAATTTTAAGCATATCAAAGATCATTTCACCTCGCCACAAATGGATAGAGTTGTTCTTTAATTAGTTTTAAAAACAGTGAATTTAGTTAGAAATAATGTAAAATGTTTTAAAGAAGTACTTACCCTTAATTATAATAACTAACCACTAACTACAAAAATTCAATAATATCTTCATGATGTGATAATGACATTTTTAATTTTAAATTTCATATTAATATCCAAAGATAAAACTCCTCTGGTAAAAGATAAATTTTCAGGCAGATATGGATGAAACCAAGCCCAACGTGGTAAAACTTATCGTAATTCACACCCCACAACAACATTCAAGGCAAACAAGGAGGCGAGGATCGAGGGACGAGGGGAAGCCATCTCTACCATCCCCTTCAAAAGCCAAAAGCCAAAATCTACCTGGCTATCACAATTCACAAGATATGCAACGCAAGAAAAAAGCAGTGGCACTTGTGCTATTATTCCTCAAAGCCATGTCTACCACAGTCAAAATGTTTTCCTTTCCTTAACTACGGTCTTTTAAACTTTTTGACAAATGACAACTATCGTCTCTTCTTCATCCACACATAATAAAACACACACTGTTTCTCTCTAGGCACGGTAGAAGCCTGTCTCTCCATTTCTCTCTCTTTCTGAAACAGTAACAACATTCACTTTAGACTTCTAGCACCACACAACACACACTCTCTCTCTCTCTCTTCCTCTTTCTCACTCTTAAAACCAGTACTTCTTCCTTCTTTTTTGTGAGAGAGAAAGTAAAGAAGAAGATAGAGTGTTCAGTCTTTCCATGGCTGATACGACAGCCAGTAAACACCTCTCTTCCATCAATGGAAGAAACATCATTACGGATATAAAGAACCTATCTTCTCTCCTTAAAACAAAGAGAACTGTGACTTTTGCTTATGGCTTCATGTTTGCCTTTGTTGCTTTCACTGTTTTCTTGGCATTTAGTCCTTCTCAAAACTCATCTTCTCCTTGGTTCACTAATATTTTTAGTACCAGTGCTACCACCAGTACTGCTTCTTCTGATTCTTATAGATCTCAATTTTCTTCTATTTTTTCTTACCTTTTGCCCAACAACACAGCAGCGGCAACCCCACAAAAGCAAGGTCATGATTTCTCTTCATTGCCTTCACAAAACACCACCAGATCTAATAGCACCTTATCTCAATCATCCAACACCAGAACAGAAGTTGCAGACCCACCAAGCGTAAAAAACGTCACTCAAAGTACAGTTTTGCAACCAAACCAGACCGCAAATTCTTCAGTTGTCATTAAAGATCCAACCCCCGCAAATAATCAAACTCAAATAGCAGTGAATTCTAATAAAGGTCTAGTTTTCAAGCCAAATCACACCACAGTTGCAGCCCCAACTACAACCCAAGTAGCAGCAAATCAAAGTGAAAATACGCCCACAAAGTCAGGCTCCTTGGTAAAGGAAAGATCAGGGAATCAAGATAAAGGAGATGCAGGTAAGAGTGTGGCATCAAATTTCACTGCTTCACTCTTGAAGAAACAGGGCAATGTGACAAAACAGAGCAATGAGACTAATTCAGGGGTGAAAGTGAAGCAGGGGATTGATAATTTGGTGCAGAATTTGGCGAATTGCGAGTTTTTTGATGGAGAATGGGTCAAGGATGATTCTTATCCACTGTACCAACCTGGGTCTTGCTCATTGATTGATGAGCAGTTTAATTGTATAATTAATGGCAGGCCTGATAAAGACTATCAGAAATATAAATGGAAGCCTAAAGGATGCACTTTACCAAGGTATGTAGTTTTCTTGAAGTTTTCCGTTATTTTTTGTGGGGAAAATTTTCTGTTCCTGCGTTTTGGTTCGTAGAAAATCGCACTTTTATCAATTTATATTTTGGGTTCTGTTTGTATTGAAATTAGTGATAATTCTGACCTACAATTGTAATCGATCCATTTTTTTTGTCTCTTAGTAAATGTTCTGCTTAGATCAATTTCTGCTACCTGATTTAGAAAGCTTCTGCTCCTTTTAATTCATGCATCAACCAAATTTGCATTCCAGTCGATGTATTTGTTCAACACTTTTATTGAAAATGATCGATCAAATAAATTTGTGGCTTCTTCTTCTTCTTCTTCTTTCTGTTAACACTAAGGTTTGTTATTGTTTTGCTTAGGTTGAACCCTGGTCATATGTTGGATATGTTGAGAGGAAAGCGACTTGTTTTTGTCGGTGATTCTCTGAACAGGAATATGTGGGAATCTCTGGTTTGTATTCTGAAAGGCTCAGTGAAAGATCAAAGCAAGGTTTTTGAAGTGAATGGAAGGCACCATTTTCGAGGGGAAGCTTCGTACTCTTTCCTATTCAAAGTAGGTCGTCACATTCCATCTACTCAATCTTTGTAACTATAGTAATTTTGTGTGGCATTTTCCTAATTTAGTGAAATTTCTCGTTGAATGAATGGTAGGATTATAAATGCACAATTGAGTTCTTTGTATCACCTTTCTTGGTTCAAGAATGGGAAATGCCCGAAGAAAATGGATCAAAGAAGGAGACGCTTCGGCTTGATTTAGTAGGGAGGTCTTCTAGTCAATATAAAGATGCAGATATCATTGTCTTCAATACGGGACACTGGTGGACTCATGACAAAACTTCCAAAGGGTGAGTTCATATTGTTCTTCTGGTGACTACATTGATAGTTCTGGAGGAAACTAAACCACCTACTGGTTTTTGCAGGAAAGATTACTACCAAGAAGGGAGTCATGTTTATGATGAGTTGAACGTTCTAGAGGCCTTTCGAAAAGCTTTGACAACGTGGGCCCGATGGGTTGATGCAAATGTAAACCCAGTGAAATCTCTGGTCTTCTTTAGAGGATATTCTGCTTCCCATTTCAGGTAAAGTATAACTAATTAATGTTTTAAGTGTTAATGATAGACTTTCTTCTACTCTTCTCCAATAGCATATTTGATTTGATTCTCTTTTCACTTTCGAGGAGTAATGGTAAAGTAATATATGTTTACTTGCTCAAGCTCTCTTGTTAGTTCCGTGGTATTAAGATTTTAAACTAAGAAACTATAGTTTGATCTTGAAATTCTCTGATAGGAATGGTACTGATTGTCTCGTTCTCTTCATATTTGTTTAAATTTCAGCACCATTATAGCTTTGGAGCAAGTAATTTAATAATTATTGCTACTTTCTTTTTGCAGCGGTGGACAATGGAATTCCGGTGGCCAATGTGACAGTGAGGTTGAGCCCATAAAAAATGTTACATACCTAAGGGAGTATCCACCGAAGATGCTGGTTCTTGAGAAAGTGCTGAGAAATATGAAAACCCGGGTCACATACCTAAATGTGACACAAATGACCGATTATCGGAAGGATGGCCACCCTTCAGTGTATCGGAAGCAGAACTTGTCTCCAGAGGAAAGGAAATCACCGTTACATTTCCAAGACTGCAGCCATTGGTGTCTTCCTGGTGTGCCGGATGCATGGAATGAGATTCTCTACGCCAAGCTTTTAGTAAATGAGAAACAGAAGCAGCAAGCGCAGAAGAAGCATGTGTAAAGTAAGAAAAGGCCACACAAATTTAGAGGCTGCCAGTTAAAATATGGAGCTGAAACACCAAGTACATGCAGAGTATAGTTTATTAATTTTTTTTCCCCTTTCAATTTTGGGTTATAGAAACAAAGAAACAACATGGGGAGAGATCCAAGAAATAGTGTCTTTGTTTTCTCCATAAATTATTGAGAGAAACAAGGCAAGAGATGAGCGGTTGTGCTTTTAATAATATAAATGTTTTATGCAAATGTAAGAGAAGAAAGAGGAGAGAAGAGATTGAAGGTAAAGTTTACAGTTGCAAATCTCTCTCATCTTGTTTCTTTAATTAATATTCATTTAGCCTCAAATTAAGGCTTTTGTAAATTTTAAAATTATTCACCTTGTTTTATTTCAATAATATAGTGAGTTGTAATTATTCTTTTTTCTCATCATTTCACTATTGAATTGCTCAGCTTAATCCACAACCGTTTGAAGTTAAATATTTGATTTGACAAAGTTTATTATATTGATTAAGCTTTCTTGTGTCATTATTCAATTGTAATTAGTTTTGGTCAATGTTTTTGGTGTGTGAAGCTGGAAATTCCGTGGGGAACTGAAGACGACCGACTATTTGCTAATTGCTACTTTTGATGCCTTTTATTTATATTTACTAAAACGTTTAGGTCAGCGCTTTGGACGTTCTCTCTCTTTTCTCACATGCCATATTTCGATGTCTGACTATTTTAATCTTTTACATATTTAACAAAGACAGCCTAGGTTTAAACATATGATATGTCGTGACTCTGCCATTGATGTTGAAACGATTAGAGATACGTTATTGTCAATTGAACGGCAGAGTATTTCTAGAACGCTATCAAGTAGGATCATGCTTAAAAAACATGGGCTGCCTTTACCTCTTATAAAAGCTAATGGTACTAGTGTCGGCAAGCAAAACTAGCCATAAAATAAAGAGGCTCGTTTATTTATCTTATATAATGCTACCTTTTAATGCAATAATTAATGAGCCCTTGTATTTTTCGCGATTCTTGAACTTTTCTTTTGAGTTGTGATTTTCCTTTTTGGTTACAAAATGTGCTAAAGCCCAAAAACTGACACTAAACTAACCCAATCCGTACTTTCGTCTACAACACCCCCTTCGTATTCTTAATCCTTAACTATATAAAAAGTCTCCAGAAAAATACACACGTTCAGAAATCCAGACTAGTTTAATGCTGAAATGCAATTTTGCATGAACATGCTTTTTCTTTGCTCTTATAGAGCCATTATGGTCTACCAGGAGATGAATAATTAAAGTATATAAATGCATCAGTTTCAGTCTGAAAACTCCACTTAGGTCTAGCTGGTTAGGGATATGTATGTTCAAATTCTTTTAAGTTTTCTTTTTATGCTTATGCTTTATTATTTTTGGAGCTGTGGATTTTTATTTTTTATTTTTATTTTATCCGGATATCTCTATCTCATATTAGGGATAAAACTAATTTTTTTCGAAACGAAGTGACAAAATATAATCATTCCTAACAAGTGCGACTCCGGGATTCGAATCATATATATTGACGGAAAATTTATTTAAAGACCAACTTGTTTATCGCCGGACCAACAACTAATTGGTAGAGTAGAGGAATTTGAACCTACCTATCATAAATATTCCTAGAGTTTCAATCTTGAGTTTCTAATTTCAATCTACAAGTGATAAATTTTATAATACACAAGAAGTAATTTTTGGAAGCTAATAAGTTACTCCATAGCATATAAACCTCGATTGCCATGTCATAAATTTTTTTAGTACACGTGAATTTAAAAATAATTTGACTCTGGATTAGTTAAAAAAGAAAAAAAAATACGGGACTAAGGTTTTGTAGGATTAAGGTTTTGGCAATGATGGCAAAAAATTGAAAGCCAAGCTTTCTCTCTTGAAAAAAATCCAACGAGAAGGGAATTAGGGTTTTCATTCTTATTGCAAAAAATCTAAGAGCAATTTGAAGAGAAGAGAAAGCAAGAGAATTAGGGTTTTCGTTCTAATTGTAAAAAATCCAAGAGCAATTTGAAGAAAATAAAAAGTCGATCTCTTGCAAAAATCTAAGAGAAGAGAAAAGTGTAGTATCTCGAATCCAAACTAAGAGCAAATCTAAGTGTAATTTGATGTAAGTAACTCAATCGCCTTTTTTATTAATTCACGTCATGTATATTACTCGTATTGTTCTTGATTTTGATTCTAGAAGTCGAAGCTGGATTAGTTTCGTTTTAATTCGGAGAATTTTTGAGTCTATAATGTAGCTTTGAGAGTTGAAATTTACAATGATATAGTAAATGGCAAAATCAAAATCCGTTTCATATGTGTGCACTTTCCATGAGTAACAAATTCAAAATCTACTAAGAGAAAGTCATTCTCTTGCAAAAATCGAAGAGAAGAGAAAAGAGTAATTAAAAATCATACCAATTTCAAATGACTAATTTTTGCAATAATTGAAAATTTTGGCGAGTGATATAAGAATTCATACGGTTTTTATTCGGTATATATTACTTTTTATTCTACATAGATAGCAAAAACAAGGTAAAATTTTGTTCTTTTTAAGGAACGTGTCTCATAAAGTAGCTTGATAGGAACGTATTGCGGGAAAATAGAGATTTTTTTAAAGGTTCTTATAATAAGTTTATGGTTTTTGTTGTAAAGGATATGACTCTTCAAACATGTAAATTTATATTTTTGATGATATAGCTTAACATAGTATAATTAATATCAAATACAAAAATGATATGGTCGTAAATTTATTTTCATTATTTATATGAGAATGAAGGTGTTACATCATCTACTATATATCATGTGAACGAAGACTTTGTGTTTAATGTTAGAAAGCTTTTTTATTCAGAAGATGAAGTATATAATAGCCAAAATTTGTATGCTTTTTAGAAAAGGGTTTTGGCATGAGGAAGGGGAAAAAATCTTATAATAAAAATGGGGAATTGATTCATTAAGAACTAAATTGTTCATGTGAAGGGAAGTCTAGAGTTATTGGCCTTGATGAGGAAAGAAAGAGAGAAATATTAGAATATAGATGTTGATGTAAAGCTAGAATCATTTTCAAAATGACTAATGAGATATGGGAAGTAACTTTATTTGATGATGAACATAATCATCAAATGGTTGAGGAATCATATAAACACTTGATATCTTCGACTAGAAAGATAACGAGTCCGGCAAAAATATTCTTAGTTCCATGGTGGATGTTGGAATAAAAGCTAGGAAAGCTTTTGGGTATGTGGTGAATGAGAGTGGTGGTGCTCAAAATTTAAGCTTCACGGAATAAGATTGTCATAATTTTATATAAGAGCGTAGAAGAAGTTTGTTTAGTGGAGGGGATGCTCAATCTGTCTTGAACAATTTTAAAAGAATGCAAGTCGAAGATCTTAGTTTCTTTTATACTATCCAACTAGATGATGATGGTCGACTAATGAATTTCTTTTGGAGGGATGGAATATCTAGATTGCATTATGAAATTAATGGAGATGTTTTGATTTTTGACACCACATATCGCACAAATAAATACAATATGATTTATGCACCATTTTTAGGTATCAATAATCATTGGGATAATGCTTTTTTTGGATGTGCATTTTTATCCGATGAAACACATCATTCTTTTATTTGGTTGTTTGAAACATTTTTAGAGTCAATGGGAGGTAAAGAACTAAAAACTATTTTTATTGATCAAGCCCCTTCAATAGCTAAAGGTGTTAAAGAGGTTTTTAAATCTAGTCGTTATCACTTATGTGAATGGTATATCGAAAGAAATGTAATAAAAAAATATTTCACATTTGATGGGGATTCAAGAATTTAAGGATAAATATTTTAATAAATTGATGTGGAAAGTGAATTTACCATTTGAATTTGAAGTCTTATGGCATAAGATGATTGAGAAGTTTTATTTGCAAGAAAATAAATGGCTTAATACTTTGTATGGAATGAGAGAAAAGTGGTCTCCTACATTTAATCATGGTTATTTTTTCGTTGGCTCTAAGTCAACCCAAAGAAGTGAAAACACCAATTTTGTTTTCAATCAAATGACTACTAAAACAATGATGTTGATTGAATTCGATTGTTAGTACGAACAAAAAGCATGAGAAATGCGAGATCTAAACTACGGAATGATTTCAAGAGTAAAGGCAAATTTAAGCCTCGATACCGAATTATGGAATCTTGAAGCATGTATCCGAAATTTATACTTTAGTTATGTTTTTTAAACTTCAAAGTGAATTTCTCCTAGGAATGTCTTAAAAGGTTATTCATAATACCACCAATGGAAGTCATCATATTTTTACCATGCAAGATGGAGATGTTATGCAATTTGATTTAGAAGATTCTTTCATTTCTTGTAGTTGTCACAAGTTTGAGACTATGAGTTTGTTATGTTGCCATGCTTCAAGAGTCTTGCATATTGATATGGAAGTACCATTTATCCATTCACAATACATTGTCAAAAGGTGGACTCGGTTTGCAAAACAAGGACTTGGCTTTGAGAATTATGCTAATAAAAAAGATAATATATTTTCTTCACCTACTACATTGCGATTGAATTAACTAATGAGAAGATATTTAGTTGTGATGAGTATTGCTGCTATTGATGGAAATATGTCAAAGATGGATCACCATGATTTGAACAATATCGAGCTTCAACTTTCAAGGTACCAAAGTAGTTTAGCTGAAGAGGGGGATAATAATGATCAAGATAAAAATGGTCTTAATTATATACCACTATAAATAAGGATTTGTTATTAGATCCTTTGACTAGATGGCCAAAAGGAAAAAAAATCATCTAATGTAAACTGCGATATGAGGAAAAAAAATTATCAAGAAAGAAAAATGCATCTCAAATACAATTGCAAATACAAAATGGTGCTCTCTTCCAACAACCAAAAGCAATCATTATCGACTTTGAGGTAAACTTGAATTGTTTATCTTGTTTAATTTATAAATAATTCGATCATTTATTCAATAATAATTTGCATGT